AGAAATAGAACAAAAAGAGAAGATTAAATTAATATTATAAGAAAACAAGTAAAGTTACTTGTAAGAGTCAAATAAAAATTTCAATCATTTCTAAAAAATCACACATCAAACTAAAAAAGAAAACTACACACACCTAGCCTTACGCCATGCTGCTCGCTTTTCGGCCTGAAGTTCTCTATCAGTTAGCGAGCGATTCTCACCATCAAAAGTTATCTGTTCATCATTATTCAATTGATATAGGTGGCGCTTTTCAGCCTTGGCAGTTCGAAAAACTCCAGAATTTTCACTAAATTTGAGTAATTTTAGAATGATATTTTGATAATATTTAATTTTGATTCACATAACTTTTAAATAAATTAAAATTTTCCAAATGAGATTAAATCAATTGTAATAAACCATTAAAGCAACAGTCTCAACTTAATATGCTTCCTTTTTTAAAAAATTTTTTTTACTGAAAACTATTTAGATGTAGATAAAGAGCTGACCGTTCTTGGTAAAATAGTTCAAAAATCGATATTGTAAAATGAATATATTGAAAATTTCATGAAAATTACTTTATTCTGAGCGAAGTTATCAACGTTTGTAATTTTGACAAGATTTGTGCATTAATTGTTTATTATCTTAACCACTGTACTGGTTGTTCGAGACTGTTCCTTTGAGAATACAATTAAGTTATTAACCAAATCAAAGTACATAAAGAAAAATGATATTTACTAAACCAATGGCATGTTAAAAATTGTTAACATAAGTTTTTGAAAAGCCACAAGGGCATTAGATAATCCAAGTAACAACAGTAATATAGTGCCAACAAAAGTATATGTGATGTGTTAGTATTGGTGAGGATAACAAAAGCAACTGTGTTAGTATACGTATGCCAAGTAAGCCAATTCAAACCACTGGTAATTAGTGTTTAAAATCATTTAGATTCATGAAATGGATTGTAATAAATATAACATCTCGTCAATACTTTATTCACATCATTCATATACTAAAATTTGGACATATTTTTTCGTACAGAATGTAGTGGAAGATTGTGGTGAAAATTAAGTGGAATGTTTGTTTTCCAATTAGGGTCAATCAAGTCATTAGATCTGTGCATGTACCACATGGCTATGGCTTCCAACTCGTAACATGAAAACACAGTTCTGACTCACAACTCAACTTGTTAATGAAGCACAGTCAAAAATGCACATAAGCACCATGCAATTTCAGTGTATATGCCTAACCAAACTTGAAGCATAGTTAGTTATTCTGTTTGCGATTAAAAGCTTTTTTTTATTTTTTTCAATACTACCAAACTTTACTTGTCATTAAAGGACAATGTTGGTGTCTACCAATGTTACGTATGTGATGGAACTGATAAAACAAAATGTAATTTTAACAGAGATCTTTTGAAGAAACGTGAAGTGAAGTAAAAAAAGGAAACATGAATTGTTTTAAGTTTTAGGCATATATTAGGGCCCTTTTCACAGAATCTTAAATCAAAACTCTTGAAAGAACACTGCACTTTTGAATGACAGAGTGAAATCTGTTCCAAAAACTTTGTCAATGGAGACAATATATTCTTACATTATTTCTGTTTTAAGATTTTATAACTTGGTGTTATGATGACATCAAAAGGGGAAATAGGAAACAAATGTGTTCATGCAAATAATGATAAATCTAGTAGAAAAAAAAATAATTGACAACATGCTCTGTTCTATAAGTGTTATATTACCTCTGTGTGCCAAGACTGATAAATTTAAATCCACAAAAAACACAATATATTAGTTTGGTGAAAAAAATAATATAAAACCCATGTTATATAAACTAGCAACTTGAAAATAATAAGAAGAAAATACTCTATTAATGTGAATAATTGCACATGTGGCTATGTGCTCATAATTTAAATAAAAACACAGTGAATATTATCAAATTTAAAGTGGCATATACTTTCCATTTTGAAAGTGAAATGAAATGGGGTTTTACATCCTACTGTTCTGTTCCTACTGGGCTAATGAAGATTGGATTTTGGAAGACCATATACTTCTGCTCAGTTTTCTTTTATATCCTCCATAGGATTTTCATTTTTCCTAATAGCACCAACTGTACTGGTACTTTCATACAGAATATATAACATCCAGTTTTTAATGCTTATATACCAAGACACAACCCTAGTGTCAAAGAATAACCTGTGAACTCCTATTTTGATATGAACTTCAAGTTGTCCTAGGTTCACCATGGATTGCACTAAAATCACTTATTCAAGGACAAACAAACAATTGATATTACAATATACAATGGTGCTTCAGTATAACACGGACATTGGGGTCCACATACAACACATGCATTACCCAACACATGTGGATCTGCATAAATAAGGCTTTTCAAATAGTTAAAGTAACAATAACTCACCTTGAGAAGACCTTATCATAGTCCTGTTCGCTTGAATCACCGATACCTCCTGTAACAAAGGACAGTAACTCTTGTTGGGACATGTTCTTCGATTTGGCTTCTGATTAAAGATGATGGAGGGAAGAGCAGCAGTAAGAGAAAATGGTGGTATTTGTTAGTAAAAACAGTTAGTTAGCAATTGAACAGCCATGGCATGAACCACAAGTGCATTCTTGACAACTGAGACTATCATGCTATTACATCACATCAAAGCTGCAGATTAATGAATAGGATAGAGTGTCAATCGTAAGTAGTCTGTGATGTTGTGCTACCGCATTAGTAAAACATGGTCTAACTCGATAAGTTGAAATTTGAATTTCAGTAATATCTTTGCAGTAAATTAATGATGGCTTGTGGCATCATACTTAATAGTAAGAATACTTGTAAGACTTTTTTTTTGTTTGTCCACAGTTGTAACTAGAGTCTAGAAAATGATTGAATTTGTTGTCAAGAATGCTGAAAGCACAAGAAACCAAACTTTATTTTCACTGGTGTTTCTTCTAAAGTACATGAGAGGACTGAACATATTTTGATAAAAATAAACTGTGCTCCTTTGTCCTTTTCAAACCTTTTTATAGAAACATCATTAAGAATAAAGACAGTTTGAATAACACATGACACCAGTTGCCATCCAAAGCTAGCATTTTTTCAGACGGTACACTACACTAAAACTTTATTTGGTCATTTAAATAAGACAAAATAAAAGGTAATGGAGGCAATTGGTGTAACGTACCATACTTGTGTGGAGATCAATTTAATGTTAGCAATTCTACTATTTGAGCCAAAAAAAATCTCATCATAGGTGCGAATTAAGACTATGGAGAAGTATCAGGATCTAAGCCCTAAGCTCTAAGATGTATTAGAGGTAATGGGGATATATATGACAGGTTTGTAAGCTTTTACCAGGAAAAGAGGGAATAAAGGAAGTACTTCTCTAAGATGTTAATCTACTTATTAATTCTGAAACCATGGAGAGAATGAGTGAATGTTAGAATCTAGAAATTGTTAAGAACTAACATATTATGTTAAATAATTAAGACTTTTATTCTGTCCCTGTTCTATCCCAATCTGGCATCCCTGTTTTTTCCCTTAACTACTTTTCTTTATTTCACAAGTACCAGTACTACCAGGATCTTAAAGAATCGAAGTGCTGAATTCTCACTGGCAATAAGCAACTGAAAGAACTATCAGTGAACCCTGGTAATTCATCCCACAAGCACTCATCTTAAGGTTAGGAGATCCCACCTTTCATCACAATGCGTTTGACCAGTGTATCTCATCAACCAATCTGATTAAAATTAGGATTTTTTGGGGGTTTTTTTTATCTTGGACTGGCAGGACACTGTTACAACAGAAAGTTTGAGATGGTATGAATGAAGTGTAAAAATAAACGAAAACAAGATTGTAATCTATCACTAACCCCAGGTCCCCAGAATAACTATCATATAGACCCCAAGACCCCTAACATAAAGTTTTCTTGAAATTTAAAAAATGTTGGGGCAGATAACTCAGATTAATTGCGGACATACCTTCCTCCTGTTTCATCTTGGCTATTTCATGATCGGCAAGATAGCTAAAATGTTTTGCTGTAAATAAACATCGTGGAAATAACCTCAAATATGCCATTATGTGTAAATCATCATACTGAAATTGTGACTATTTTTTATAACCAATCAGTGAACTCACTATCTCTGGAACGAAGCCAACCACGAGAGAGAGAGAGAGAGGGAGAGAGAGAGAGAGAGAGAAAATGGGGTTTAAAGTCCACTCAACACAAACTAGTTCATTTCAGAACTAACATGTGGTCCAATTTTATTTCAATAATTCGCTTGTGCGTAGGGGTCTTTAGCAGTGGGACGAAACCAAAGGACCCGGAGAAACCCCACTTGGTTGGACAGGCGACCCTACTCCTGGTCACGTACAACCCGGGAATCGAAACCAAACCAGTTGACTCAATGACAGACCTTATGATACAGCACACACGTGACAACCATTCGGCCATCCAACCCAACCACCACAAAGATTTCTCCATTTGCCACTGACATCATGTAGTTTGACCGAAATTATGTTATATCTACTATTTTCAAATCACATAACTTATCATAATAACTATGCCTAAACTTGTAGAATGCTTGTAAGGTTTTGGAAACAGGGGCAGTAACTCAACAAAGAACCATTGTACGAGTGTGAAATTTTGATAGGGTTCCACTAAAGACTAGTCAAATATACTCTAATGTGAGCACATAAAAAGAACATTTTTGGTACCTATGGCAGGATATTTTGACTAGGTAAGCAATCGCTACCATACACCAATTTTCCATATTTAAGAATTATTATTATACTCTTTTGTCTTCATATTTAAAAAGGAAGACAACAGGTTCTTGAGATAGACTATTCAACCCAGACGAAAAAGAGATGATAGTAAAAACACAGATTGGTCTCTGAAAATAGTTACAATTCATAATAATATGATGTTTTGGTACTTTAAGATAATATTCAGTGAGCTTAAAAACATTTAGACATTGATATGAAACATAAATTTACAACAATGGCATTCCAAAAAGAGAAAAGATAAAGAGAAATTACTTTTGAATACACATACTAAACTACCAATATTCTTGAAAACCAACAATTTGTGGTTTGAAAAAAAGAAAAGAAAGATATTTCCACAATGATTACACAACATCAACATTCACATTTTTTTCCTGTTCCGATTTGATTTCTAGTAAACCCAAAACAACCATCTTGACAGTTGCAATGGTGACTAACATGGATAAACTATATTTTCAAGGATATCCAATCCCCCTTCAATTAGATATTACATCTGTAGCTTCTCTTCCTCCCTATTAGTCTTATTTAAATTACAGTTTAACGTTTCCCACTCCCTTTGGTTCCATGGATACCATCTATTCATCCTTAGCCATAGTTACAACACCACCCCCTATTAAACTTTGCTATTTCTGATGAGTCCACTTTATTTGAGGGCTTTCATACAGGTGTACAATATGTTGCAGTGGCAGTGTGCAGCGGCAAAAAGCCAGTGCAGAATATAACCCGGGCAGCTTTTAGTTGAAACAGCGGCATTGTAGTTTTTTTGTACTACATTTCTATAGAGAAGCTTACAACAATAGTATTGTTATTCTGTGAAGGATTTTTATATGATTTAAACATACATTATGCAAGAGCTAAATCTGCCTATTGCAGTTCTTTCTTTAGGCCTGAAATGCTATCTAAATTATTAAGTAGACATAAATTAACTTATCCAGACCATAATCAACTCTTGATGTCATTGCTAGCCTGCAATATCTACTGGATTTGAATCCGATCTGCTGCTCAACGCTCATTGATGATTAAATAAAAAAAATGGATAATCGAGACTATTGTTGATTTTTTTTGTCTAGTACCGACTTTAGTAATGATGATCGATGCTAGGTCTAAAATTCAATTGCTAAATTCTCGGTTCAGAACGGATCAATTTGACTGAAACTATCTAGTTTTTAACTATTATAGTGAGAAATGCCAGCTCTTTATGTAATCTCCCATAATGTATCTTTAAGATGTAAAAGTCCCTACCCAGTCTGACTGAAAACTGAGCCTCCACCAAGGGTGTATGTCTTGCAGCTGATTTTACAATAATGGATTGATGTATCTTTAATTTTATAGGAAGTGTAATGCCTTGAAAATACCTCAGATAAGATAAATTCAAGTTTTCTAAATAAACCAAACTGTACTAGAAAAGACAATCATTTTGTTCACCAAAATACAAAATGTTTGTTGATTTTGTAAAGTTTTCTAAGCAACACAATTCACCACTTTTTCCAATCAGCTATAAGACTTGAATATATCTAACTTTTCTTGATCACTCCAGCACAAATTATCTCTGCTCTACCTGCAGCATTCTGGATCAAAAAGCCTCAATTGTCAGTATGCCATGTAATGGGTTAAGAGGAAATTCACATTCACATTGTGTTTGCAAGATTCAATGCTAGCTTTGTCAGTTTAAATAATAATTCTGCATGATAAATCCTACCGAGGCCAATCGCTGCTATAACACACATCAACGTTTCAGCTTCATCCTTGTATCTAGCCAACAGATAGTTACAGTAGAGACAATTTGGGCTGGAGCAAACAAGTCTAATCTATAAATTGACAACCAACAACAAAAAATATCCCCAAAAACACTTTTAAAAAAAGAAAACAAAAAACTATTTTAAGCTTAAAAAGAATCTATTGCGTGGTTTTCTCAAACATAACGCTAACGCTACAATATACGTCCACATTCCAATTCTGCTTTGATTGACAAGGTACTTTGTCAAGAAGGCTAGGCTTTTGGTTTGTTTAGCGTTGAGGGTCGTGCATCAACATCAATAGTTCCTGTCCTTAGAGTATAACTTATTAATAAATGTTCCTTAGGGTACAAAGAATAAGTATATAAAGTGTGGCTCTGCCCCTGGGGGTTGGGCATGTACCCCAAACGATAGGGATGTTCCTTAGGGTACAAAGAATGTGTATGCAAGATTATAAGTTAAGAAATGTGGCCTGTAGACGACAAACAAACAAATACTAGAAATGGGCGTGGCTCTGCCCCTGGGGGTCGGGCATGCACCAAAAACAATAGGGATCTTCCTTGGGGTATAAGGAATAAGTATACCAAGTTTGAAGAAAATCCAGTAAGAATTGCGCCCTGTAGGCGACACAAAGACACACGAAAAGAAAATGGGAAATGGGCGTGGCTCTGCCCCTGGGGGTTGGGCATGTACCCCAAACGATAGGGATGTTCCTTAGGGTACAAAGAATGTGTATGCAAGATTATAAGTTAAGAAATGTGGCCTGTAGACGACAAACAAACAAATACTAGAAATGGGCGTGGCTCTGCCCCTGGGGGTCGGGCATGCACCAAAAACAATAGGGATCTTCCTTAGGGTATAAGGAATAAGTATACCAAGTTTGAAGAAAATCCAGTAAGAATTGCGCCCTGTAGGCGACACAAAGACACACGAAAAGAAAATGGGCGTGGCTCTGCCCCTGGGGGTTGGGCATGCACCCCAAACGATAGGGATGTTCCTTAGGGTACAAAGAATGTGTATGCAAAGTTTCAAGATTATTAGTTAAGAAATGTGGCCTGTAGACGACAAACAAACAAATACTAGAAATGGGCGTGGCTCTGCCCCGGGGGGTCGGGCATGCACCAAAAACAATAGGGATCTTCCTTGGGGTATAAGGAATAAGTATACCAAGTTTGAAGAAAATCCATGAAGAATTGCGCCCTGTAGGCGAACCACAGACACACACACACACACACACACACACACACACACACACATACATACATACACACACACACACACACAGACAGGGGCGACGGCATAATACGTTCACATTATGAATGTGGACGTATAATAAAATGATAGCCTACATTACTTTCACACAGTAACAGAATTGCATAGTTAAAATCATTAATCTGGTTTTTACATGCTCCGAAATCTTATGCACTTACTCAATCAGATTACTATAAATACCGGTAATGCATTTAATTGTAACAAATTTGTGGCAAATTTAAATTTAAATAACAAATTTACGATTCCCATATTTTAAAAATTTCATTTTAAAATACATTCCAAGATGTGTAAAATCTTCATTGTTGAAACAATAATTTCCAATAATCATTAACAATAATTTTGGGTATTAAATGACATTTTTTTAAAAATTTAAATTTCCTGAATGTGAGTGATGGGATCTGGAGCACAATTTTCAATCCAAGAGAAAACACAGAAAAACCAGACTTTGAATGTAACAAGAAAAACACAGAAAGCCATTTAAATGAAGGATTTAAAAAAAAGAAAAACATTTGACCAGCGGATAAAAACATAGAAAAGATTCCAGTGTTGCTGTCCATTAAAACATAAATATTTGTTAACAATAGGAAAAATAGTAAATGGGTCCAGGGTGTTGACTGTTGAGTAATATACATGTCAGTTTTTGGTAACAAGTAAAAAAAACAAACCCCCCCCCCCCCAAGATGACAGTGATACATCACTTAGTGTTCTGAAGAGGGTTTTTTTAAAGTTTAAAAAAGATGTTTGTTTTCACATAGAATGTGGTAACAGGTTTTTTTTAGTGTGATCTTTAATAGACATTATATTTACAGCCAAAAAGCTGTTTAATGTGTCCATAACTAAAACTTGTTTGATATGACCAATATAAACAATTTGTCCATATTGTTAACAAATGTTGAGTTTTTAATGAATACAACGATAATTAAATAATAATAATTAGCTATAAAAATTTTCTCCATTAATTACATACTATATAATAATATACATACTGTATATATACAATCAATTTCAACAGTAAACCTGATTTAATTATTTAACTATAAATAACTCTTCTCCTCACTTAATATATAATAAAATTCATCCAGGCTTAGATAACTAGAAAAGCAGTCTTTATAACTTTCCAATTACCAGTATTAGTGATGAATGCCATGCGCGAGTCATGGTTCGGTGGGGGTTTTTTTTCGCCGGGAGTTAACAATCAGTTATGACCCGATTGCAGAAAACCAGAAGTACCGATACTCGATAGACAAATTTTGTGATTTATTTTCATATTTCCATCAAACAGCCACTAAGGATTTTCCTTTCAAGTGAATATCGTGACAATCCCACTGACTTATGTTCTTACAACTCTAGTTTTGAATCAAATCGAAGATGATTGAATTTGTGAGCCTTATGCAAGATTATTTTCCAGGCATTCCAAGACCTGGATGAATTCTGGATCAAATCTGTGAAGGACCTATGAGTTATAACATTTTCTGCACCCATCAACAAAACGGCTATATACATGTACTGACTCTATCTTTACTGTTGCGTCTCCACTGGTTATTACACTTTTCTACTTTCATTTCTTATAAAAATGTATTAAGTATCAAGATAAAAAATTAATACTAATCACATGATATGAGTTTAAAAATCTGAGTTGATTATCCTCTATCCGAAGTAAATGTGTCCAGGTAAGACAACTTTGGATTGTATAATTTATGGGGATTTTTAAAAAAGAAAAATAATATATTGCACTGTTATTATTTTATATGGTAAAATTTGATTTTCTCAGTAATCTGTATTCAATTGTTTTCAGTGGTGCAAAATGAGATTTTATAGACTTTAATAGCACAAATTGGAATCTAATAGCTGTGTACCTTAAATATACAATATATGGACCATAACATCAGTGTTTTTTAAATAAAAGTATACAATCAAGATATCAAATTATTTAACAAATGTGAGCCCTGTGTATTTTCAGAGGTTCTTGCGTACATTTAGCTTAAGTGAGCCTATAACCGAGTTATTATTAAATATTTCTAAAAAATATTACGCGTACATGTAGGTGAGTCAAAACTGAGATATTAAATATTTTTAACAAATATTACTTGACAGAAACATTCGTGAGTGGACCACAACATCCGAGTGAAACACTTGGTGTACATGTAGCTATGTGAGCCTAAAACGATTATTAAATATGTTTAACAAATATGATTTATTACATTTGAATATAATATTATATCTATTCAGATCCATTGAGTAGCTTACTGGTTTTTTGTGTGGTAGTATGGTGCTGCTGTTCTATCTCCTGTTCAAAGAACTTCTTCTTATCTGTGAAATTCACAGCCTCCCGTTCGTGCTTCTGAAAATAGACAAAAAAAAGGCAAAGTCTAAATTTGTTCTGAAATGAATAATGCACCTTTTTTCTGTATACTTGCCATTCGAAATGAATTAAAATTTGGATTTAAGCAGAGTTATTGCCAGATACTGTCATGCTATTTTTAGTAAAAATGGCATAGTATTATTAATATACTAGCACAACTTTTAAAACTACAATTAAATTTAATACAAACTTATTCATCACGTTCATGTAGAGAAATAAAACAATAAAACCGGCTGAGGCAGGGTCTGGGTATGATCTAGAAGTGAGAACAATATATAATCTTCAAAAAAAGTAGGGGATATTGAAAAGCAAATACCTATGCAGGTTGTGATATGATAAATAGTCATGGACACTTGACATAGTTTGAGTGTATGTTCACAGATGATGAACTTATGGCCGCGACAGAAACACTGAGCTGCATGTGCGACACACAATAGCGGCATACATGTGGTAGGGGTTCATTGTCAAATTTGACACTTCAAGGAAGGGTTGATGAAAACTGCCGCTTGCTGGTTTATCCTGTCCATGTTAGCTTTCCTATCGGTTCTTGCATAAGATTTACTGTTCAGCCTATCTTTGCTTTAGTGTGTTATGTTTAATTTGATCGGGAAATGTGTTCGGCGACGTCAACATCAACCAACAACACTACAAGAATTGGCCATGGCACTGCAAGAGGAGTGGGTCAGATTGCCCCAAATCGTGATTGGACCGTTGATTAGGAGCATGCCACGAGGATTGGTGGAGCAATTACTCATTATTAAGACAAAATTCAAAAAAATCTATTTTCACTTTCGACAGTGTATCTCTTTGCGAGTGAAATGGGGCCGTCAGATAAGCCGCCCATCCATATGAACTGTTTATGTTTATGTGTAGGCAATTGGCCTGTTATTAACATACACTGGTTATCTCTAATAAAAACAGCAGTGCATTTCCGCAGTTTTCTATTGTTTCTGAATATCCCCTACTTTTTTTTAAAGAGTATAATTCAGTCATTTTCTTGGGCAAGAACGAAACGTCCCACATTTTCTGTGGAGACAAGACAAAACCCACACTTCATGGTGAAATTACTGCACTATTACATAGCTACGGTATTTTTTTTCACTGACTAATGACTGATTTGATGTCAACTTTACCAAGACAAGTTTGATCTTCCAACTAGCATGTTAACTGGGTTACATGTAATACTAGTTTAAAAGTGATGAACACAGACTAATCATGGTGTATAGTATGCGTACGGCTGTTGACATTAATAATTTATAATCAATAGAATGAATGAATCATAGTTGAGAAGGTGAAAGTATTATACTATTGATAAATGTTATAATTACAATCAACTCTACTCTTTTAAATACATCATAATTATTAATCCAACATAAAGATGTATAAGCATTTCAAGTTTTAGTCTGACGTAAGACGGACACAGCACTACAAAGGCATAGTTACTGCAGAGCAAATGGAAATTTTGCTACAGGTGCAGTCAACTTAAATTACGTAATGTAAGAAAATTTATGTTGATTTATTTGATTTATGTCACTACAATTACTACAACATCAAGGCATGATTTCAGTATTAAATGTTTGGTCACTTTTCCAGTTAATATTTTCAAAAGGACACAAAAGGAATGGAGTTTTTAAAACATCTCATGAACACACAATACAGGGAGGTTGGAATGGCCTAGTGCAGTAGTGGTCTAGAGTGTCCAGCTTCAAGCTCTAGCTAGCCAGTCACCTCTGGCTTGCGGTCATGGTTTTGATCCCTGTGTGAGCATATATATGTGGCTTGCAGATAGAGGCGCATATCAACCTTATGAGTTTACTACCGGGTACTCCAGTTTTCTCCCACAGGAAAGACCCCTGCAGGTGTGATAAGCATAAGAAAGGTAAGAAAACTTGTCTGCAATATCACCCTCTGTGGAAGCAGACATTAAACACATAGAAGGACACACACAATTCTTCGGTAATTTTTCGACGGACATACTGTCATTTTTCTATGGTCACATGTGCATCGACACCGAGGAGAATTTTGATAAAACAGTGGTATCTCCGTCTACTCTTAACTGAATTCCAAATCTCAACATGTGGGCCTCAGTTTTACGTCCCACACAAATAAATAGGCAACACTTTACTTATGAGCCTTGGAGGGGCTCTACCCCAGACAAGTAGGAACAGGGCTCGAAATATTTTCTTGGTCCATGCCAGGAATTGAACCTGTGATATTCTAGTAACATGGAAATTATAATACCTGCATAGTGTTGATTAGTTTACTTCTAATTACTCCTGAATAATCAATCTTCAATAACACGTTTCCAGTTTCTTAGTCAGATGCTAGACCAATATAATCACTGATTCGTTATATTATAGCTTTCAGCTATCGTCACAAATAACTTACTCCAACTTAGAATTATTATCACGGATGATAAAGTCTTTGCAACACAGAATTAATAATATATTAGCTCAAAGCAAAACAGCAAATAATTTGATTCTATATAGCTAGCAAATTCTGAATTTATAGTATTCTAGCTTGAAGCAAAACACACCAATTATCTAGTTGCTTATGAACTCCAACAATTCAAGTCTATACGTATATGAAGTTCTATTTGGAATAATAGAATATCAGCTTCCAGCAAAACAGATAAATAAACCCAGTCACTAAGAAAATTAACAATCTATCCCCTTTGTGAATATATGTCTCTGAAATCTGTCTGCCCCGAGCTATAAGCATCAATTGTACAAATGCAATTTACAAACTGCAGCTTTTCGACAAAATATAATATTTGAGGCAGTAAATTGCATATATCTTAAGTGTCTGACTTAAAATATTCAACACTTTGTCATGTGTCACAATTTCAAATCCCAAAATTTCTAAATCAAATTATTTTCATATTATCATGACAACCATCTACTAATTGCTTCAATTTTTAAAATAAATCAATAATGTACTTCACTAAGAAATATGGAAGCAACAATTGCATCACCCGTTTTCATCCACTCTTACTCTAACAGTTCCACAGCAACACAAGAATATTCAAAATTGCAGAATATGCAAATTCTTCCCAAATAGTTCCACACTGATTGCAAGACACTCGACCTATATTCACAAGCGCCAGACCCTGAAGCAGTTTGACTTGAACTAAAATCCCTCCTTAGCTCCTTATGCTTCCATAGCAGACTGATTCAGTCTTGTGGTTCCTTTGTCCCAGGTCACACAAACTAGCAGACGGTGTGGCGTAGTGATATCAGTGAATATTGTGCTAGTAGTATTGATTTTTACATAGCATTACTGTATAGAATATTGGACTCTCAGACAAGACAAGTTGCATTGAGCGTGGGAATTGGTTATAATACATGGCAAATACGTCACAGCCAGACATGATTTTATCAATGTAAAATTATATTAATTTATTTATTTATAAATATTGCACATTTTGATTTAGCATATTTGTCAAATATTCCAGAAGCTATGATGGTTTTCCATGAATAAATACCGTAATTGTCTTGGATTGTCTTCACAGCCAACTATGCAAAATGATCAGAGAATTATTGTATTTTTTAGAGTAGGCCTACTAGTACTATATACATGCTATTTAGCCTACTGTTTATGTCATTCTAGTTTGCTTTAATAAAACTGAGAATGGTTTCTGATATAATGAAAAAGCTATGCATTATAATATGCTAATATTTGCACCTACTTTAGGAAGAGTTGTGCAACTGAATGCCAAAATCAACAGTAAAATTATTGGAAATAATTCAGATGTGTTGAAATCAATACAGGTCAATACAAGATCAACCATACAACCATTAAACACAAATATTAACAGTACCAAAATCTAAATCTATTTTGCTAGACTTTAATATCTATTCAAGACTTGTATTGCAGGTATAGTAGACTGGAATGATTTTAATATTGCTCACCGAAAGATTTGTAATATAGTGGGTTGGGTTGGACGATAATAAAAATATTACAGGTAAATATTGTGATAATAATTTATCAAATATCATGATATACAGTTATACGTGTATCTTAAAGAATTTTGAATACTTAGGCAGAAAATTGTTGCTTGTTGATCATAAACTATTGTTGCTAACTTCAGTAGATGCCATGATGGATACTTAATAATGCTATTTTTACAGATGGATTTAATTCTATCAATAGAATGTCTTACACGTTAGTCAAAGTACAATATTAACAATAATACATGTATGTTAACAGAACTGTTAGGGTTCTAAAATCTACTTTTGGTATTTACATCACAGTGACAGTTGCGACTGGGGTGAATACTGTCCGACCTTGACCTTGTATCAATCGTGACCTCCGCATTGCCATTTCGACTTCGTACTGTGCACTACAGCTGCACTTGTCTTGAGGTGACGATACCGCACAGTATTATCACCAATATTGGGACATGATAATTATCATACCGCAATGATTTTGGTTGTCAAGATATACCGGTTTTTCGATATTTTTAAGTAAGTCCGATATCATTAAATCGCCTTCAGTACATCGCCCAACCCTAATAGCGGGGGACAAAGAGTGGGCCAAGTTCTTTTGTTCATGCAAAGAACTAACATTTCTTTAAATGATTCTTTTTTGCTTGGCTAGAGCGAAATCCTGAAATTCTACCAATTAGTGTCACAATTTTACTTTTAGTTTATGTATTTTTTTCATGTGATTACCTCCATTGTGATCTGGTACATGTACTGTCATGTAGTATTGGAATTGTGAATTCAAAACCTTCCCAATAGGTTTTTATCGGCAAACATGGCAAATATTTTAAATATACAAATCCAAAAAATAGCTATTCATGTGAATACTAGCGAGGTCAAATTAAATAAATGGCTTGTTTGATCGATTATTCTCAACAATACATTTGATAGAGCAAAAACAATTCTTGCACAAAAATGATTTTTTTTTGACTCAACTCTATTGGGTATTAGAGAAACTTTCACTACCATACACAGCCTCTTGATTCAATGCATGTTAAGTTTATTGATGCTAAAAATAACCATGCAATAAAAATTTATTACAACAATTCCCCTGGGCTTCACAGAAACTCTATTACCATGAATATCCCCATGATATTACAATATGTATTGATCCACTCTATCTATAATTAGATCAAAGCCTTTTACAACAATTAGGTTATCCAATCGTAATAACCCTTATATAATTACTACATTTACATTAAACCAATCAATAACTGGATAACAGATTAGCATAAACCTTTCTTGTCACTAAATATTTTATTAATGGTAACCATTAGAGTTGTTATATATGTCGATATTGAAATAAAATCTCTTTGTTGAAATAATTCACCAGAAGAAAATGTAAAGAGATTTAGTTTACAGTACCCAAGTCTCTAACTCAATATCATCCAAAGTCTTCGACGTTGAAAACACAAATTATTTGTCAATTTAAATCAACATTGATGTTGTGATCTTACCGAGAAAAGATGGGCGTTTCAGCGCCATTTTAACAAGGGACTCAAAGAACGATTCCACAAGTCATGTCAAACGGTGACCTCATATTCTTATCTGGAGAGCAGCACAATAAATACTATCGGTGTAGACTGGAATAACCAGACACTAGAGACTGTCATTCGATTGAGACTTCAGGTGTATTTCGCCAAACATAACTGATTTGAAATAAGAGTAAAAACGGAAACGATTGAATGTAAATCAGTTTATATACATTCATATTACAAATATCATATGCGTTGCAACCCATTTGTGTCCATTTCTAGTTCCCAAATATTAGCGATTTAGCTCTTTTAATATTGTGCTTGAGAATAACATGTTCCTTATTTCCATAGTTACAAGTATGCATGGGTCTTTTGTAGTAGGAGAAAAACAGAAGGATGAGAAAACACAGTAGTCTAAGCAGGCAATCTAACTCCTTGCCCAATACAAGAATGGGATTGAAACCACGACACCTGAGTTAATGACAGACCTTATGATCCAAAGAGCACAATAGACTAATTCGAAAGAAGAGTTTATTAATCTTCAAATGACCAAACCCTAAGAAATTAGTTAGAACTGAATGATTTTGAATTTTTGGACAAACAAGGTATATTTTGGTAAGACTAATCAGTATCATATTTAGAGAGAGGAATGAGGGGGTGCACATGGATATTTCTTTGTCAAATATCAATCAAAATAATGCTGTTTTGGGAATATATTATCTTCAAAAGCTGTGACAATCCTCCGCCACCCACCCACTATCTATTGAAGTATTTGAAACAATCTGTGGCCCCAGTTCATAAATTTTGCATACACCACTGTTTACGACTACAATATCAGTGTAACACATCTGTGATTTCAATAATCATGTTTGCTACAAGAGACTTGATCGACCTTATATGGATATTGATCTATCAAGTGGTCAGAATGACAGACCCAAGTCAAAGTGACATGCTAATCATTTCAGGAAATATTTCATTAGCCAATCAATAGTCACAATACAAAGTCAAATGGTCAATTACCCGCCAATCAATTTATGCAACGCTAAATTGTTATTAGGATCAAAGGTTAAACGACCAAGTCACCAATGAAATTAATGGAAGGAATAAATTAAGCGACATACAATCTTGAATTTAAATACTCAGAATAGAATGGAATGGAAAAACAAGGAGAATCCAGGAGACTTTTTCATCCATCAAATACACAAGTGTTAACACTTTATTGTGTATACTAATATTAGTCCTATGACTTTATAAGCACTGTATTCTCAAGATTCTAAACCATACTGTGTTTCTCTTCATGGGAGCATTGTCCATGTCAAATCAACATATATTGGACATGACCAAAAAATGGAATAAGGCCTTGTACATTTCAGTGGCTAGTATCACAGCTCTGCTTAATCGCTGTAAACAAATAATCACTATCTCTGTCAAGACATTCTGCATGTCCATGGCAACAAGTTGCTTTACAACACATCGATAAATGCATGTGAAGGCTCAGGTGTCTTTTGATGCATGACCGCCTTAAATACACAAGTCACATGTCTAATTACATCCAATCAATAAAGAGATAACAACAGATCTATTGATGAAGCATGGCCTGTCATTGTCAGATAGAAACCACAACATATGTTCTATTGAAATAATTGTGAATAATTGACGGCACAACACTTTCAGACATTCATTAAATGTAGTTTTCATTTCAATATAAATGAACTTTCACAACATATTTAAAATGTTGCTGCTCCTCAATTACTCAGTAGTTCAGTAATTATTTAGAAATATAATCATCAGGCCAAGAAAATTAAAAGTTATGTTACATTTAACTGGCCATCTAATCAATCCAACTTTGTAATTACAAGAAAAAATGAATTGATAATTGATTAATACATGTAAGTCTAAAACACATTAAAACAAGTTTGTGAATGTGAGGTTTACTCATACTTTAAAATCCACACAACTTTCATAACTAAAAGCATACTTTTCCATGCATTTTAAAGCTTCATGCATTTTCGACCAGAAATTTCAAAGCTCCATACCCCTTCCCATGGCATGTATATTGACTAACAGGTAAATTCTCTCCAATTATGTCACAGAATTGAATTCTCAAAACAGCTTCCACATCTGCACTGCAAAATTCTTTTAAATAATCTACATTTCTATATTGAATACATATATAAAGCAATCCATCACCTTAAAAATCAATTTTAAAAAATAAACTACTGTTAGATGACTAATTTTGTATGTTATTTTGTTAATTCTTACAATTTGTTAGAATTTACAATTATTAACATTGTTAAAAGAAACGAAAATGGCTAATTTCTCCATTCTCAATAATATATTATCCACATTATTCATTATTTATTGATAGCAATCCAAGGAGAACATTAAGAAATCTAGGAGAAATTTCAACCGAAAATGACGTGGCACACAATCCATTGAAATAATAAATATTATCTGATTACGGCAATTAGTGATAAAGTATTTGTGATAATAATATATTTTAATAAAAGGGATTAATGTTAAAATATTATTCATAAAGAAAAATCAAGGTTGTTAAAGAAAAGTAATTATATTTAAAAAAATTGATTTTAAACTAGTTTTCGTACTACGTTCAACCAACCTTTTCTTCTATTTTTTTTATCTGCTGAAAACACAAAACACACCGAAAATATGTTAAAGACTAACTCATAAAACAAATGTTAGTTAAGATTTAAACATAGGTTGCCATTTGAAGGAGAAATCCCAGACATTTTTCCATTGATGAAACTGGTTCATTCTTTATAAAAAAGCTCTTAAGAACCCTTGATTCTAGTCACAAGCAAATACCTATAAAAGTAACAACATCCCCCCCCCCCCTCACACCCAATAAGTAATAAAATTTACAGATTATTTCAGTGTTTAAATTACATTCTCAGCAAAGATTACAAACATTATCAAATAGTGACATTTAACACTTTAATTGAAAAATTTGAGGCAAGTGTTCTAAAAGAGTTACAGAATCCTTATAAACTGTTTCTGAGAACAGTTCAGAAGGATATTTCTTCTCATTTTGGTGTTTGATTTGCATACTTAAAGAGATTTATTTTATTTGCATACTTAAAGAGATTTATTTTTGAGGAAAACCAGTGGAAACTGAGACTTCTCCTTTAAAGAATCATAGCAAAAAAGAAGTAAAAAATAAATGCACAAACAAAATCAATAAGCATATCACACAAAGAAATTAAAAAGGTTCGCACATTATATAAATTAAATACAAAATCATTGTGGCTAGAATTAAAAAGCCATATGCAAATTCAAATGACATTCATGCAAATTTAGACAAATGCAACATTTGTAAATGAAATGTGTCATTTAATAAATCTACTCTAGAAATTTATGTGCTGTATTCTTTAATAATTTGTTGTGTCTATTAATTTTTCTTGAAGTGTATATGTACATTCAAAATTTAAAGGTTTTCAATTACCCATAGACAACTAAGATAAACAAATTTTATTTTTGTTGACTACTTATTTCAGAATTAGAGTTTTCATACATTATATTTTAGAAATGTGTGAGTTTGTAGGATTCAAATAGTTTGTTGATAACTGTATGTTTTAAGACATGACTGGGTTGATTTTTATAAATTAATAAGAGTATTGCTACTTCAAGAGAAAAAAAGAATTTCAAAGAGAATAAAATGATCTAAAGCCTTGAATAACCAAAACATAAAGTCACGGTAATAATATCAACACTGCATGATTAAAATCATTACCTTGGCTAATAAGTTTTTTCCCGCTGGATGTTTGGCTTGTCGACGTGGATCTACCTCCTCTTCCAGGGAAACTTGCGGAACTAACACAACCTTTTTTGGTGGTACAGGAGGCTTAGGGCCTCGTTTGGCAGGCTGCAGGCAATTAAAGAGCAAAGTTCAAAGTTTAAAGTTCACACACCATGCAAAGGAAGATGCACATGACAGCAAAGTCTGATTAAGTGATTATCAAGCCTGGTCCACTTAGCTACAATTGGTAAGGATAGGGAAAAGAGAGAAAATTGGTGTTTCAGCATCCACTCTAATCTGGTCATTTTGAGATTAACAACACTACTCCTTGTAGACTATTGTAGATGTATTAGAGCACACAACACCCCAGTTAAGGATGGGGAGAGAGAGAGAAATGGGGTTTAACGTCCACTCGACACAAACTAGGTCATTTCGGGACTAACATATGGTTTAATTTTATTTCAATAATTCACTTACGTGTAGGGGTCTTTAACAGTGGGGGGAAACCGGAGAACCCGGAGAAAACCCACGAGGTTGGACAGTTAATGATGGGACATTAGACAATAAGCTAATTGGATGTAATGGAATGAAATGTGATTTAATGTCTCATCAGTCATTTTGCAACTAGCATGTATCATTTTTCATCCTTACGGTATTTGTGTTCAATGCTAGGGAAAGAATTTTGTCTGTACAGTGTTTCTGCCCACTCCTCTCAAATTCCAACTGCCAAGGATTGTTTTACATGCACATCGGTGGACCTTGGTATTCCCTTCCATTTGAATGACTAGGCATACTTTCTCCATAGTTGCCAATACTGACAAGAGATAACCAGGTCTGAAAAGTCCTGAATGTCCTCTGGGATATGACCTCGGAACATTCTACACTAGTTGAGAGGCCATGGCCCTACTTCAGCCATATGATTTTGAATCAGTGACTGGAACAGAAACGTTAACATACGTCTGATTTGAATTAATATTTAAACACTAAAACCCTGAAAGAAATAATCTTTGATTTTCTATTATGAAAAGACCAAAGCAAAGCAAATGTTAATGTAAGACGTTTTTAAAAAGATTTTATAATTTCCAAAACTAAAAATGTAAAGGGCAAGTCTTTAAAAAAAAAAGGGTTTTGGTTTAAACAGACTTTACTGTCAATATACATACACACACAACAAAAACAAAATGCACGTAAACAAAAAAAATAAAAAACATACAAAAAAAAGCAACAAAAAGGCTAACAAACAACTGAAGAGCCTAAATGCAAATGCAGGTTATGTCATTCCCATGAAAATATGATGATCGTGAGATATCTTAGGTCAATTTAAGAATTTAGCAATGATAGTTTTCGTCAATAAAGTGGAAAGACCAATAGAATCAGCCGTCCAAATTTAGAAATAAAATGTGGTTTAATCTTCTACTTTTCTACACCAACAGGACTAAAAGACGGTCCAAATTTAGAAGTTGTGGTATATGCCACATACAAAAATTTAGTATATGCCACATACAAAAATTTAGTATATGCCACATATAAAAATTTAGTATATGCCACATATTATACATTGACTAAATATCTGGCATAAGATGTGGTATACAATATTAAATATGCCTTACTCAAAATTTAAATACCCTTTACTCCAAATACATAAAACTGAAAGGGATATACCGTGTTTTGCATTGAAACTTTTCAAATAAACTATAATATATTAAAGAAATAAAATTAATTTAATCTAATTATTAATAACAATAAACAAACATACAGAAAATGAGTTAAGATACATTGGGGGGGGGGGGGCTAATTTAATAGAGAATAATGCCAAACTAAAAAATAAACTACTTTAATTGTAAAACTGAAATTCATCAATGCACAAGAAACCGATTCAATATGAGAAAGGTTTAGAGCTGTACCTGGGATATATTGCCAGACAATTTCTAACTCTATGATATCCTAAGTTTGTAGGAAATAACGAGAAAAGGTACACTGTAAAGTGAAAAATTACAAAATTTAACCAGTCGCAATTAATTTCTAAAATCATAAAATATAATGCCTCTCCAAGCGCCAGGTAGAAGTTAAGTTGTGCGCAAAATAACACAAAATAAGTGGGTAGTTCCACAAATACATCTGTATTATAATAAAAAAAATAACACCCCTTAAAACAATAACATAATGACTGATGAAAGGCTAATCAATGTCATTTAAAAGTGGGCAATGTTGTAATTATCTGACATTTAATCTATTTCTTTACTTTAGAAAGAGGTGCGGCAGCTTGTATTAATTTCAATATGCATTTGTCAACCACCTTCAGACTGCATGGATACATTCTTATTTCAATTCAACCTCAGGATAATCATAAGTATTAAGTTAAAATTCTTCTGGCAATATAGACTGTTAAATATGACAGACACTGTTAGTATTGTAGAGTTCTAGTATGCAATGGAATAGGACTTAATGTCCCATTAACATATGCCATTCTGTGACTAACATACTTTTTGTCCTAAACTATGGTACTTGCAATGTGAGAGAGGAGAATTTTGTTGTTTTCAAATTCAAACTATCTATGAATCATTCAGTTATTGATCTCATCTTTATTTATTTTGGAAATTTGACAATCCTAGTAACTAGATTTAGAGACTCTCAGGGGGCAGGGGAAATTAACAAAATCCCATTTCACATTACAAAGAATTGGAAAATATTCACCAAATCTTGAACCAGTATCTCTTTGATTACAGACGATCAAAAACCTATTTATTCATTTTGGTCTATATGACTAACTCTTACATTTTACCTGTAGATTTGTTTTATTGAATAAAGTTATGTTGACCTGTTTTGTACTGTCACTAATGTCACCACACAGGTAACATGAAGTATGTGGATATTGGCATATTGTACAAGAATTAATGTAATATTAATAATGGAATACTTGATTGCGACATCCAGACATTTCAAATTTACAGCAATCAAATGGTGAGGAGTTCTGTCATAGTTCAACTAGTACCATTAAATCCAGACATAATCAAACATGGCATTTTTCTGCTGTGGAGAATGGTGGAGATGACTTCATAGTAGGTTCATGTTTTATCCTTGGAATTACCTGTTTTTACTCAACTGTTGGAGTAAATAACTAAATATGAAAAGATATAGTTTACTATGTACTTACAACAGGAGGTTTAGATGTAGGTAATTCAGGCACTTGTTGTTCAATCACAGCTGTCTATAACAGATATCATATATCAACAACTTTAATACATATTTCTTATACTTTAAATATCATTAATATCAATCAATACTTATTACCATATTAAACTTATAACTATATAAATGTCATTTACAGCGGTCACTATAATTGTTGATTTTACTATTCTATTATTCAAATTTTGGGATTGTGTTTTGGTGCATTTTCAGATTCTTGAAATTGTGTCTCTCCAAAAATCAATATTTTTCATGTTATTTGATAGTGTTTCAATAATGTTTTATTTCATTGGATGATCGAATTCCATTAGCCTTAATTGATATTGGATAACAAACAGTCCTGAGAAACTGTGTGTGTGAGCATTTGCTCATTATCAATATGAGGAAAGAGAAATGAGGTTGAACTTGCACTCAACAGGTTGCATTACTTTCAAAAAGCGCTAATATTTTGTCTAGTGTAAACTTACATGTATTCTGAGCTTATGTATTACCTACTACAAGTCACAGAAATCTACTTGAAATCATTTAATAATTACAGTTTTTACCTGTTTAGGACTTTCTGGGCCACGTATTTGAGCATGTTCACGCTGTAAAACTTCCCGTTGAGCATTAGCTTCATCAACTAATTCTGACGGAAGTCTTTTAGCCGCTTCTTCACGTTCCTTCTTTAATCTTTCCTGTTAAAATAAACAGATATAAATACCAGTTTTATATTAATTAATATTTCTAATCAATAATACACTTAAAACTTACTATACATCCAAATAGATCACTGGTTGATGTATTGGTGATTGGAAAAGTTTTGCTTATTTATTGGCTGTACACAAGTACCAACACAACATAATGATAAAATGAAAGCGAATGAGAAATGGCTTTTAAATTAAGAAAACACCCAGGTTTTTTCGATTTGCATTTGTTTTGTCCAATCCAAAACATTACTAAAAACATCACTCTGCTTCATCCAAAAACATTTCTTTATAGGGCGTGTTCAGTAATGTACAGAATATGATTAGATAAGTCTAAAACAACCTACCAATCAAAACTTGCCACACAAAAAATTACGCGAAACTATGATTATCATGACATTTGATTATCTATTGTCTAATCAAGGTCAAAGAAGCCAGAAAACTTTTCTTAAGCAGGTCTTTAAAACTACAGACATAAAATAGAAGCTACAGAAGTAGAATGTGTTATGTAGTAAGATAGAGAATAAACTTTATAGAGCATGGTATATTTGCTAAGAAAACAGTTATCTAAATAGAGTAGCAAGTCATCCGTTATTCACAAAGTTATAGCTTGAATTAGTACTTTTTAGATGCTATCTTTTTTTTCTTATTCACTAGCAATCTAACTGAAGCTTTTAAATATTAGAAAAAAATATATGTACATTGTGTGACCTCATGTCTTTCAAAAAGATGAAATCCATTCTCGTTTACTAGCAATCTAATTGAAGCTTTTAAATATTATAAAACAGCTATGTACGGTATATATTTCAATGTTAACTTTACAGGAATAACATTTCAAACTTTCCATTTTGCACACTGTGATTTGAATTTTCACATATATTTTCTGATTCCGTATTTTGTTTTTTCATACAATTTATTTGTAATCTATCTGAAACCTTTACATATTTTATTTAATTTGAATTTTTAATGCATGAACATTTTCTGTTGCTATTGCTTCACATTCTCTAGCAATCTAATCAAGCTTTTCACATTACCAGAGACCTACATGTACATGCTAATTTTCATCTTTTTACAATCTATAGTAAATAAAACTCCAACAAGAGTTATGAAGGATTAGAAATTAGCAGAAGATATTAAGCAATACTATATTCAGTAATGAAAGCTGAACATTATTATGGCAGTCCGATAGAGAAAGCCGTTTTCTATATTACATGTATATTATTCATGAAGATATATAGTTATATGCATTGCTGGGTGTTTTATTTACCAATTTATCAAAATCTTCTTTCTCCCAGTGAGCCGTTTCATGTAACATTTCAACTTCCTAAAATGACATCATTCGTAAAAACTCAAGTGGTAAAAGACAGCTCAGAAAAAACAATATTGTAAACTCAGTTATAAAAACCCAAGTTTATAGTTGCAAACTCATATCAAAATCATATAATATGTAAAAACGGAAGTTCTAAAACTCAAGTCATTAAAACTCAAGATGGCAGAGTTGTAAAAATTAAAATTACAAAATCAGGTTTCAAAAGCTCAGTTCCTAAAAACAGATCAATTTCAAAAGCTCAGGTCCAACGCGAGTTTCAAAACCTCAAGCATTGATAACACAAGTTTTCAATACAGATAGAAACAAGCAGTTCTTTTATGTTATGAGAGAATTTATAAAACATTAAAACAACCCATGAAGTAATTACCAGAAATGTTTTTAATCTAACAAGCTGCTAGAACTTAAACAAAACATATACTGGTAGTCAGATAACTTAAAGTTGCATTATGTAACTAAGCGCTAAATCTGACTATTGCAGATCTTTTTTCTGTCTTCAAAACTTTTTATTTTAACATTTATTCACATGACAAGCCCGAAAATCAACTCTCTAGACCACCGGATGAATGAAATTTAAATGGATTTGCTCATATGCGAGATTAAAATTTAATGATAAAATGGTAATCAAGACTTAGTCGCGCTTGCCAAGTACCGTTGCTACGATAATAAATGACCTGCGATATATCTTTGCCCAAAATAAAGTAATTTGAATGAAATTTTCAATATATTTTTTTTCATTATCTATTTTCAACTATTACAGCAAGAACGGCCAGCCCTTGCTCGAAATCTTAGATTACACATCTTTTATGGAAACTGATAAAATATAATTTTCAAATTTGATCAAGAACCATAACTCTTAACAGTAATTACTGGAAATCATTGAACATCAATAAGCTTCTTTGTCTCATGAACATAAGACACTGTGTACAAATCAGATTGTAAGTTTGGCCTCTAAGGCATCCTTGGAATTATTTCATAGCATCCGACTAATAATAATATCCAGTAGCATAATAATATAGAAATCTTAGAACACCCATCCCACCCACAAGGTAAATAACACACCTACAAGTAATTAATTATAGCAAACTTGATAAGTGAAATTTACAAAACTAAAGTGAAATCAGTGCATTTTGCTCATTTAATTTGATGAAAAATTCGGAGAGTGAAATTTCAAGCTAAAATTGAAATCTGCGTTTTATAGTTTGAGTGAATGGCTTAACAGACAGGTACATTTAATTTGTGAAAAAAACAAAACCTAGAACTTGTTTTCAAACTTACTTTTTTCACAACGGCTGTATCTGTATCTTCACGATCTATACTCGATACTGATCCCTGTCGCGAGGATGCAAAAAAGCCTACGGGACTTCCTGGAGAAGATAACTCTGACGTACTAGCTGTAGGATCAAAGCCATCACAAACCATAATACTCATTTTCTCTCCAACACTACGTAACGCTCTCACAGCCTCTTGATGAGTAGCTCCTAACAGACTCTGACCATTCACCTAATGAAGAAAGTGAGATATATAAAAGTGATGGCTGAAGATTACATTAATGTGGAAATTACAAGGCCAGGTATTACCTAATAAGGAAATCAATTTGCATATCATCAAAAGTATGAAAATAACGAGAAATGATTATAGTATTAGGTTACAATGAATTCATTTTGGATCCAGACACATCTATGCAGTTAGACCCAAAAATAACTATTGATGTTTGCAAATATCAGATCCTTTCCAGTTTATAATGAACAAAACTCTCACAAAACCATAATAAAACATACCTCTAATATTCTCTGACCTATAATTAACCTATTATCTCTAGCAACAGCACCATCTTCATTTATCTATCAACAAATAAATAAAAGCCATTAATTGAAAGGAAATATTCCTATCTCATTTAAAAATCATGGTCCTTATCAATCAGTCAAAATCTATTGACTTTAGATTTTTACAAAGAAGTCTCCTGATCAACAAAATATATAAAACATTTATACCTGAATAAAACCATTCCAATGGTGGATAACCATTATGAGCAATGATTTGATAAAAAAAGAGTCTTGGTTAAATTATAAATCAGCACGTCTAACAAGCTGCTCACAGCTTACTCACAATGCTTATTTTGATTTCTATGTTTTGTTATGCCATTTGTGCATAAATTATCACAATAAATAGTCCTGAGATGGTAACAAAATACTTACTCTAGATATAAATATACCCTCATCGTTTTTATCCATGGGATTCGCGGAGTAATTTTTTATACCACCTTTTATACTCATGCCTAATTTTTCACCCGGTAATTTATTCACAACCAATTCCTAATTTAAAAAATTTAAAATATGAACATCAATTAATTATTATATTTTGAGCAAAATTTGAGCTATTGTTCGCTGAGTCTATAGATTTGAGTCTATAGATTTGAAAACTCATATTTTATTTGTTGAGAATGGGGTCATTTGGAATTCTATGCTCATATCTAACAAGAGCACTGCTGACGCTGCAATATACGTCCACATTCCTGCGTTGATTGATATGGTACTTTTTAAAATGAAGAGAATGAAATATGAAATGGTTGCAATGATTGTAATATGACAAGAGGCAAAGAAAGCTAACAAAAAAGTGGGTGACACCGTCCCAGGGTTTCGGGGCATGCACCAAAATAAATAGTTGTTGTCTTTACGGTATAAGGAATAAATATGCAAAGTTCCAAGATGATCCATTCAGAATCGCAGCCTTTAGACGATAAACACAAAAATTGGACGTGGCTCTGCCCCTGAGGGTTGGATATGGAACAATATAAATAGGTACCACCCTGTTATTGAAATGATTAATATGCTGAATTTGAACAAAATCTGTTAATTATTGCAACCTGTAGAATATTTACAGACAAAAAATTAACAAAAAGTAGGTGTTGTACAACACAAATGACAGACGCAAGTGAAAGACTGCCATTTTGAATCAAAAGATTCTACATCACTTTTGGGGTTCACTAAAGGGATCTACATGTAAATTTAAAAGAAACGATGCCAACAGAATGAAATCTGGAAATGGAAAGAATCTAGTTTCGTTTTAATGAAACCTTTGAAAGTAGCTCTCATTTATCATTAATGGTCTTGGATTTTATTTCTCATTTAAAAGAATGTTACCTTTAATCCCTGTGGTGGGGGATCATGTCTAACTTTTAATCGTATTTGATGTGTTGGTGCGATTAAAGCCATCACAGCTTCTTGATGTGTAGCACTTGTAACATCCATACCATTAACCTGAATAAATATAATACATGATTGTTATTGGCAAAAACGGCAGATAAACTTTGTGATTAAATAGATTGGGGTTTAAAGTTAAGTCAACACAATAATACAGAAATTTTGAGAGAAACATATTCTTATCTACATTTCAATTGTTACATGTACAGTGTAGAATGCTAGACAGGGTGTGGTGTGGGAGTTAACCCTAACCCTGTGACTACCGATTCCATAAACATTTGACAGCCTCTACACTGGGTTCTTTGGACCATGACGTGGATAAAATTCGAACATCTGTTGGGGATTCTAAATAAGTGGAAACTTTCCCTTTATGCTCAACTGAAAAGTACTTACAGTTAAAATTCTGTCCCCTATCTTTAAATGTGTTTTACACGCTGCCCCATCTTTAACTATCTAAAATAGACAGAAAGAAAAGTCATGTTTAAAGTTTTAAGGAAAACACAACCTGGCCACATATTGTCAAAGATAAGTATCATATCAATATATGGATTTTTAGATGTGTTAAAAAACACTAAAGGATTTTATTTTTAAATTTGCTTTGAAAATAAAAACCTATTCAAGAGTTTCCTTACCTTAGAAACAAAAATACCGGGTTCATCCGCTCCAAACGGGTGACTTGAGTGATCACTACCACCTACTATACTTAATCCTAACGGTCCACCAGCTTTATTTATAATAATCTCCTGTAACCATAACAACCAATTTATACACTTTATCATTAATTTCAAAAATACAGTTTGGGAATGAACTGCCATATCTATCAATGTCTTTTACTCAGTCAATCAAGGCCACATTTATAGCATTGAGTTCAAAAACTGCAGCTTGAACATTTCAAAAAGTTTACCCACCCTCAAAATTATGTTTTTAAAAAAGCAAGAACAGTTTCTATTTGACTGATTCATATCATTATAAACATGTACAGGGAGATTTTAAGTTAAATTAAACATTATAATTTCATGAATACTTCATTTTTGTTTTAATTTATTTGAAAAAATTGCAAAATTCAAAAATATAAGGCTACCAAAGAAATTTTATGCTGTGTACTGTTTCAATTTTAAATTTGGCCCTGGGGTCAGTGATGGTTTGGAAACACAGTAAAATTAAGATTCTTGCTAACAGAGCTAGACTAGCCATCATAGTATGAAATACATGTTAAAGCAACGTCACTGATTGTAGATATATGAATGATTGTGAATGTATTTATTTATTTGAATTTGTATAATAGTCATTATTTACTAAACTACTACATGTACATGCGAGTGAGGGATAGATTAAATGCTTGCCTGTAGATCAGTAGCCAGTAGATTTTTTTTTAGGTTAGCTTTAATCTTAATGTTATGATTACCCTGATGGCTATTAATGAATCTCAGGTAAAGTAAATAACATATAATTCTGTAAGGTAAACAATAATATATCCTAAAGTTTGAAAGCTTTGCTGAATCCTGCAGAAATACAAAACAATACTTGTTGATGATGTATCTGTGTGATGAATAAAAAACTGCCTCGAATGTGGCATCCTTTTATGACAAAATATTATTCATTCTTTAACACCGTATGTTATTTCGAAGCTTCGAGTATAAAATAAATGGTGTTTAACCTTGGACACACAAACTTAACTGAAATTTACAATAGCAATGAAAGATTACCTCTTGTGCATGTGATGAAGTAGACAAAGATGATGGGGATGATGTTGTTGTTGTAGTTTCTAAAGATGACGGTAAAACAATATGATTACTATCACGATTCACTAAATTCATTGTTTGTCTTTCTAAAACAAGAGTTCTCTCCCCTGCACTGATTTCTTTATCACCTGTAACACTTCCCCCCACACTACTACTCCCCCCAATAGTTAATCGCGGAGAATCACTAACAGATACATTGTTTTTAATCACACTATATGTTGAATTGTTATTCACAGATATTTTCGGAGAAATGTTTTCCTTATTATCCATTATTGATGGCGCCACTGTTGACGGGCCTCTAAATGTCACTGTTGCTGGAGCTTGAATTGTGGGCGATTTTCCTGGATAAACAAATCGCGGAGGTTGGATTGCAGACGGTGGTGTAGACCAATCAGAAGAGAGAGATTTTGGACTGACTTTCGGAGAAAAGGAGGGGGCAGTAACAGTCGCTGAAGGTGATGCTTGGATCGTGGGTGCTTTTTGGTTAATATGAGCATATCCTGGACTCGGCTTTTGCGTGGCTTCAAAACTTCTGTTCGGGCTACCGGTAGACAATGCTGGTGATTGAGTGACTGTAAATGTGGCACCCTCTGTCCCCGGAGATACTTTATTCCAATCTATCCTCGGATGAGGTTTTTGAAGTTTTTCGTTGGGCGACATGTTGGCCTGTTGTTCCTTTGTAACAAGATTTTCACGATAAACTACTAACTCCACCTGTTGTTCGGATCCAGATAACAGCGCCACAGCTTGATCGTGACGAGCATCTGTCATATCTACTCCATTTATCTGGAAAACATGAAGAATAGTTAAGAGAGATAAACATACACAGAAAAGTTGTGCATTAACAAAAGTTGTCATATTCCTGGAGTCAAAGTGGTACTGTTCAAAACATGTATTACTTTTACAAAAGTGTACACAGACATGCCCTGCTAATGTCATTGTATCTTTCAATCAAATTCCTGATTCAAATATGCACTACAAGGCTTTCAAATTTTAAACAGAAATTTCTAATGGAAACTGTATATTCAAATCAAAGCATTGATGAAAATTAGGCTATGACTATTAGGGTAGTTGGTATTACATGTACATTAGTTTGTGTAGTACTGTCTTCCTGCATTTTGTAGGGGGTTGGATGGCTGAATGGTTAGCGTGCGCACGCTGTATCATAAAGTCTGTCATTGAGTCGACTGGCGTGGTTTTGAATCCCCGGTTGTACGTGACAAGGAGTAGGGTCGCCTGTCCAACCTCGTGGGTTTCCTCCCACTGCTAAAGACCCCTATGCGCAAGCGAATTATTGAAATAAAATTAAAGCATATGTTAGTCCCGAAATGACCTAGTTTGTGTCGAGTGGACGTAAAACCCCATTTCTTTCTCTCCTGCATTTTGTAGCATATTAAAGTATTACTAGTAAACTATCAGCAATTATTGGCTCACATTGAGTTTTTTTTTATATACAAAATAAATATGCCCCAAAAAGTTATTTTTGGATGCACTCTCTAAACCCTGATTCTTTTGAACCTCTAGCAAACTACAATATTGTAAAAGTTTAATCTCTAATTGGAATATCGGACCAAAAATGGTTCAGTTTCATTCAGTATTTACAAGATAATGAACTAAATATTTGCAATATTCATCATTCTCTGCAGACGATATAACCATAACAACACCACCTATAAGTGTTGGGTAAAATCTCATAGTGGGCTTTTTATAATCTAATTGAATCAAGGTCGGGGGATTAATAATCAATTGGAGTCTGTGTGGATCACAACATTATGTTTTTACTCACCGATATAATTCTATCACCAACCATTAGTTTTCCCTGCCGATGAGCTGGACCATTCTCGGTTATTCTTGATACATAAATAGCCTGAAATATACACAAAAATATATAATCTCCTATTAATAATGAACTGATTACCTAAAATTAATAAATAATCCCATCCAACTGTCACATCAATTCTTTACAATTAAAATCAAAATCAATTCTTGAAGTAAAATTATATATTATACATTAAATATATAAAATAAGGCTACAGGTGGTCTTGATAAAATAATCACAAATTGTCTGTTTTGATTGTAACAAATACTGGTCTAGATAAACTAGTGTTCATTAACAGTACATTCCTATTTGGGATATCAAACTGGATTATCAAGGGTACATGCAGTCTTGATTGCTCTATCCTAATTTGCCTCCACCTCAACTGCAATGAACAATGGCTTAGGCAAAATAAGTGATAATGGCGTATATAAGAATTCTGAATCCATCATAAGATGTACATGTACATAAATGTTTGTATGACCTTTGAGTACTGAATACGCTAATTTGTCTAAACCAATTGTCACTGTTGGCAATACACAACACACCCCTTCCCTCTCACATATTGCAATTAATTATCATAGAATAATTCAGTAGTACATGAAATAGACAATATTTTCTTCAGCAAACTTCAGGGAGGCAGTCATATAGTTAATGTCTTGTCAATCATTCACAATACTACATGCAATGTTAATTTACAAATTAACACAATCAGTTACATATAATATATTATACAACTTCAAAGTCACTGTCATGTTATTTATAGTGTGATCGTATTATTTATCTTTGTGTTTATATTAATGTGATCACATTGTTTATCATCATGCTTATCTCAGTGTGATCATATTGTTTATCTTCATGTTTATATTAGTGTGATCATTTTGTTTATCTTCATGCTTATGTTAGTGTATCATATTTTTTGTGCATTTTCAGATTTCAAGCCCAAAGCCAATCTCAACTCAAAAGTCTTAACAGATATATCATAGCCAATGGAAAAATATCATTGTAATACTCTTTGTCTTCAGATTTAAAATCAGATCCAAAACTATCCATTTTGATAATCACTGAATCAGTAAAGAGGTTACAAAAATATATAGATACATACAACAGACTGGGAATAAATCTATTATTAGTATTAAAGGATCACAAGATGATAGATAGTGTCAAGATAATACAGCTTCACTGGCCACTGGCTTTAATCTGATATCTATTAAAGCTGCACTTTTCAGGACTAAGTGGCAATTATAGACTTTCAGAATGTAATTAAATTTGATTAAGAAAATCAATCAATCCTAATTTTAATTATGCCCATCTGCAATCCACATTACTATCTACTTGTGGTCCCTGAGGAGAATATAGTCATGTTATATAAATTACATTACAACCCCATTCCACATACCATACGTTCTGAGCATATTTAGTGGATCATTGGCTGACCACTGGCCAATCCTCAGTTTGGGACTGAATCCAAACTAAGCTTTCTCTATACACATCCGAAACAAAACATTTTTGCACCGACTGGGTTAATGTGCCGAAAAACACGTGGTCCACAGAAGTTAGTCTGATGGTGTGAAAAGAACGTGGTATGTAAAATGTGGTCGTACCATTCAACATTTATAGATACAGTATTTTATAGATTATGGAAAATAAACTGAGAAAGTGGAAATGCATATTTAGTATTCCTAATCCGATTGCATGAATACTATTTCAACAATATCAACAGCCTTTCCTCTCCTATATTTATAATCTGTCAAATTGGAAAATACATTAAACACATGCTATAAATAAAATCGTTTAAGGTTAAAACAAACTTTTAAACTATATTTGTACCAATATGACAATATCAAATTGATATTGGTTAAAACTTGCATTCATTACATATCAGTCACACCATTGAATATATACTGTATAAATACACGATGCACCATACGACATTCAAAACAACCCTGATGATCTAGCATCAACACATTTATATAAAAAAAAAATATTCTATAACAACAAAAACCAACAAATCTCCGTTTTATTAAATTCTGACTTGATACCAACCTCTAACAGAGAAATAAACTGCTGAAAATAAAGGGAATTTTTCTCTAAAATTATATATTTAAAATCCTGCTTCTCCATTGCAGTGATATATTTCTCATACATATAGATAATGACAATTTATATACTTGATTCTTTTTTAGAAATTATCAGATTTATCAAGGAGTCCACATAATGTAATTGTGTCTGACTTGCTTGCCCAAGACATGTAACGGTAAGTTTATCTTAATACTGTAGTAATATTGTATCGAGTACCTAACTGTTTTACAATGTCTATACAAAAAAATCCAATGGTGCTTTTTTTTTTTTAACAAAAATCCAGATATACTTTTTTGATGACTAAATGAAACATAAAAAATTATTAATCACAAAAATATAAATAATGATTTACAATATTTCTTACAGATTCAGCCAATCAAATCTTTCAATGCAAAAGCCATATAAAGCCACAGTAGACAATAATACAACATTTAACATGATTGGACAAACACCACCAGACATACTTTTGTAACAGGCCAAGAATTCCTTTTCTTATTGTCCACTAAACAAATTATTTCATAGTGACTCATGCACATTAAGTTGGTTGGACATGGTTCTCTCCTCCAACTATTTGGCCGAGTGGATGTTTTGGGATCAAGAATCAATCAAAAGTTTCCCATAAAAAATTAACAACCCACAGAACAATGATTGTGTGGCCATAGTAACAGACAATCAATAGAACTGAAGCAAATATTCACAAAGTTGTTTTTCACTTCTAACCACTACCTATGTTTTCGTTGCCAGGATTGATAAGCTCAGACAGTTGCTCAAATAGCTCTGCACAAAGAAAATATGTTTAGTGGACTGCTTAATTTCACTTAAGTTTCTGGAACACCTTTCTTTCATTAAAGAGGTTTGCATTGCTGGTAACTTTTTGTACATGGTGATAAAGCAGCAATACATTTAGGGTCTTTTATTGTACTAACTAGAACATAGAATTAACTAACTTACATTATCATTTCCACGGAATGGAGTTGCTCCCCTTCCACCAGCTATACTGAAACCAAGACCACCTTTTTCACGCAGGACAACTTCTGTTAATGTCTGCAAAGACAATAAAAATGAGGAGAAAAAGATTTGAAAGATGGGCACTAAACAATCCCAGAAAAGACGTTAAAATCAATGGTATTTAGAAGTGAGAGGAAACCGGAGAATAAAAAACCAGGTTAGGCACGTACATGTTGTGATCGAAATCATGTCACTTGACTCAACAGCAGATCTTATGATCCAAGGGCTCATGCCAGACAAACCTTTCAAGGCTATGAAAGAGCATCTATCTGATATGAAATGTTTTCTTTGGGTCATTATTTTGTTCATCAGAATGACTGCTGTTCAGATATCTGACTTTGACAGCAAGAGTTTATAAATATATCAATCAACAATGTCTAATGATGTTTATCTGATCGAAAGTCTACGGAGTGCCTTAAAAAAATGTCCTACCTCTCCGTACACTTGTGTAGTAGAATCTTCTTCAAATGATACTGTAGCGATGCTAGTATGGGTGTGGTCTTCTATTGGTGCTATTTTATCAGCTGGTAATACAACTTCTCTACCAATCACCATAGTTATATCATTACCAGAATTCTTTAATACATTTACAGCTTCATAATGATCTGCTTCTACTAAACTTACACCATTTACCTGATAAAAACACAATACATTAACAGATTTTGGTGCAACTTACGCCTCCGGTTCATGACTTAATTCAAATCTAATCATAAGACACCTGTCACAGATCAGACACAAATTATCGTACAATGTTTATATTATTATATATATGTTGTATTATAATTTCTGTCTAACAAAGTCTGTGACAGGTGCCTTTTATTTAGTCTTGCCTAACTGTCAGAATATATATATATACATGTAAGTAAGTACACCATTCTAATCCTTAACCTATCGGCTTTTAGTGGAATGTAAATTGATGTAATCACACTGCCTGTTCCACACATACATGTAGTGTCTTTACCAAGGTCAGCCATTGTTGTATAGCATTTTGCTACAGGGTAGATACAGTATATTGTCTGCAACATGTATTTCAACACACACTCATCTTTATAGATAAAGCACCGCTCTATAGTGAAGTTGTTTTTACATGGTGTAAATGATCACTTACTCACTCAATTAATATATCAGATGAAATATAAGAAAACCATGGATGTGTGCTATTCAGAATTCAGACAGTTATTGAGTTGAGAGAGCCATTTCTAATAATTTGTCTTTCAATAACAACATATTTTACATGCAATATCCATAAGTACATCCCATCAAACAACTACACACTTATTAAGTTTCAAAAATGAAATTAATGTACATTTGTATACTACTTACAGAAATAAGTTTATCTCCTTTAACAATACCAACATTAGCTGCTGGACCATCTTCTGTTACACGTGATATAAATATACTCTAAAAAATAATTAAAGAGTCCCAATATGGAATTAACTAGTTATTCTAAATAGCATGTTTGTTTACACTCAAAGATCCATTATAACTATCAAGACTATTGATGTAAGCTTAAACCAGTTCCATATAAATATTGTTTTAAAAACAATAGCTAGTCATCTCTTCAGAATCCATACCCTCTTCAGAAATTTCATTAAAAATCTATGCCTTATAGTAGCAATAATTTCAATACACAGTTGTCTACTCCCTTCAGGTAGCATTAATCAATATTCACATGATACTTCTAGCGTGACAGTATGAGTGGAAGATTCTATAAATTTAAAAATAAATGGTCCGATTTAATTGATAATTTTGCAGATTTGACTCACCTCATCATCTCCTTTATAAGGTGTAGAGTTTTTACCACCCGCTATACTAATACCCAATCCCTGTCCTGGTTGACGTACGATATGCATCTCTACCTTTTCCTCTTGTATTTTAACTGGTACATTCTGGGTTGATGTTAACACTGCTATAGTATCATCTTCTGGTGGCTACAAATAACACAAATATTTATTTCCTAGTATGGACATTTTTATTTCAAGAGCTACATCTCTAATGTACGTACATCTCCGAATTCAAACTGTAAAGGGATATTTATATGCCTTTCCAATTTTACCCAGAGAGAGAGAGAGAAATGGGGTTTAGGGACTAACATGGTTCAATTCTATTTCCATAATTCGCTTGCACATAGGGGTCTTTAGCAGTGGGAGGAAACCAGAGCATCCGGAGAAAACCCACGAGGTTGTCACATACAACCAGAGAATCGAAACCACGCCAGTTGACTCAATGACAGACTTTATGACACAGCGCGCACGTGCTAACCATTCAGCCAACCAGCCCTCCCAATTTTACCCAAAACCTCAGTTTTCAATAATACCTGAATGGCTAGACACTTTTCATTTTTATGGGTCAGGGACAAGTCTCTTGTCTGTGGATAATTGCTCTTAGACAAATGGCCTCCACTCTCGACCCAGACAATTGCTTCCTAAATATTCCTTTTTTCCTAAGTAGTTTGTGAAATGAAATCAATGTTTTTTCTTGAAATAGCAAACAGTTGTATTTTTTTTCTTTCTTGGTGAATAGTTGTAGTAGTTTTAGCATTTCATTGTCAGTATAACAAAACTTTCTTCAGTGCATCGATATTTAAAATCAATTGTTTTGTTTTTTTATCTGTATGGAAATTTGTTTTTCTTTATCTATTTCTCAAAAAGCTTACTTAACAGGTCCACCCCCAGATTCAAAGCCAGGACATCAAAATCATTAGCCTAATTTCGTAGCTAAATGGTCTGTTACAAATGGATTTACCATTTTTAGTAATTATTAAATAATTACCTGTAGATTGGAAGATATAGCAGCTGTATCTTTATGTGCTGCAGCTTGTGCCAGAATTTCCCTTACTTTCTGCTCTGCATCCTCTTTACTAGCATTAAGATTGACACGTTTGTTTTTAAGATAATGTGGTGTATCACGACGCCGTAATTTCTGTTCTTTATCTGGTTCTTCTTCAAACTCAGGTGTAAAACCGACAGCCTTATTACTCTTCTCTTTCTTCTTTTTCTTCTGTATAAATTGAAAAAAAAAAGTATGGAATCAGAAAAAGAAAGAAAGGAGTGGAATGGGACCCAGTCATTTTGTGACTTACATACAGTTATTATTTCTATGGTCATGTGTGCAATGTCAGGATACAAAGTTATTGTTTGCTTATTCAATTCAGCATTTATCTTTCTGGCAAAGCAAATCTGTTAATGTTTTTCCAAACCATTCAAAATGTAGATTTAAAACTGTTTGACAAGGTGATCGGACTATTGTGTCACATTTTGCTTATCTCAATACATGCAATAAAATTTAAGTTACGTCAAGTGTAGCAATGCGAATTTCCTACATCTTTAAATCATCAATAAACAAAATCAATTTACCGGTACATCAGTGCTGCCATCGCTATCAGTTTCACTTTCAGATTCACTAGACTCTCCTTCATCTGTTGTAACTTCTTCTCGTTCTTTCTCTGTTTCCAGCAGACCGTCATTAGCACCATCGTCTTTTGATGGCATGGTTTTAAATGCTGAAGATATTGTCACGTTTCTCATCAGAGGTTCTGTTTCTTTCGGCATCTCTTCCCCTTCTGATGAAGATTCCGACTGGGCAGATGGTGGGGGTGGACCTTGCAATTCAGGCGCTGAAGAAAGAAAAAAAAATACAAATTTGATAATGATAATAATTAGTATGCATTTCTTTTCCAATGTTAAAGCATTATCTGCAGTTGAAATACAACTGCCATTGATTACTCTACAGGAGGTTTCAGCTATTTTCTATATAAACTATAACACATACATGTACTTAGGGAAGAAGTTGAGAGAATACTCTTCGAAACGTCCCCTAAATAAATCAGTAATTGTTCTTCAAGTATGTGTTATAGTTTATTGCTCTATCCAATTACTAAATGCCTCTAAAAGGTAATTTTCTATATATTATGATTACCTAACGCTGTAATTATAGATTCATTTTGGAACTTGTTTATCGAGTCACCCTCACATAAATTATTTCTTCTAGTTGGCTTGCAATTATACATAGTTTCAAAACTAAATTTGGAAGTTATACCAAACTATTATAATTATATACGTAAGATGGTTTAGTGAGACTATCAATATATTCCTCCCTACCTTTTATAATCTGTGGAGCTTGTATAGTCATCGTAACTTTTTTATCAACTTGTTTCACAGCGCGATGTTCCTCTTCTTCAACTGCTCTCTGGATGTTGGGGTCATGATCTCTTGCTGGTATAAATGCCTGATCCTAAAACCAAAATCACTATCCTGTTAACTATTTTATGTATCAATTTAAAACGACTTGGTTGATTTCATGGGTCATAGGCGTTTCATTTGTTTTATGGGATGACAATCCGTCTTTGTGCCTAGGTAAAGCCAATGTTAAGATATAATCGATTGTGTGTTCAAGTATCTACACAGTATAAAACTTGATCACTAGTTGAAATAAAATATCAAAGAGATTCAGTTCCTTTATGAAATAACTATATATGTTACAGATTAAAATGTTAAAATGCACAAAATGCTATGAGATATACACAAGGACTTGGGAAGAAATTACGTTTGAAGGCTCACTAAAACACACAATGTTGCAAACGGCCAATAAACAATTCCATTATCGAAAAGTTTAAAAAAACCTAGGTTAGATACCATCTTGGCCTCAATGTTCATGGACAGAAACAAATTATCCTTCATATGTCGACAGACAACTACAAGAAATATATGATGGTGGCGTAAAATCTTACTATAATTTTTGGACAGATATGCTTTTTTAAGTTTTTGAAAAGACTGCTTCTTCCCTTACTGTGTATGGCATTAAAGTGGTTTATATTCAACTTAGAAAAATAATATCAAGATAATGAAGTAAAAGCAGAGGAGTGAAATGAAACTTGCTCAAAAATTCTGGAAACTAATAGAAAGAAAATGGCTTACCCCCGGTTTACGATCTTGATGGGGTATCACATGACCATCAATGCCCTTCTGTTTCAGATATTTACCATGGCGAGCCTTTAACTCCCGTGGATGTGGTGTACCATGACGTACAAAGTGGCTCTAAGATATAAAGGAAAGGGAAGATAAGTCATGCATGAGATTAGCAAAAAGGTTTAAAATCATTCATCATGCATTAGAATAAATCCAAAAGGATAAAAAGCAAATACTTTGGGGGTTAAAAAAGAACTGGTTTTAACATCTTTTAAATAAATTCCTTAGTCATTCTTAGTCTAATATGGAGTATTTTCCTTCTATTTTCTATGGTCAAATTTGCAATGCCAGGGTGAGAATTATTCTAAAACATCCTCCTCTATTTTAACCACAGACACTCTCAAAATCAAGAACTTGAAAAATAAAGTCTCCAAGTATTAAAAAAAAAGAATCCGTCAAAAATAAAAATCAAGAATTTAGGTTTTCAATTTTCAAAATGTTTCCAGGTTCATGTACCAGTATGTAAAAAAAAAATATATTACATGCTACCAATTAAAGCTGATCATTTTAAATTTCAAAGAAATGCATTTGATTACTTAAGCAGATAATCCATAAAACATTCAAGGTCATTACGCAGTCATCCAGCAAATGAAATTATAAGAGTAAATCGGTATTCCTGCTTATTTAATATGCTCAATAAGATAAAAGACTTGAAAAAGGTGTCAATAGGATATCATTCATTTTATAAGGTCACTACAAGGTTTAGGCATGCAATCTATTGTTAAGAACATTATTTTAGAATTTAATTGATCATAATGTTCCTAAATTTTTAGAAAATAAATAACTTGATTATCTTGCTGAACACATATAATTGGCTGAAATTATTTTAAAGGCGTTCATATTTCAACCAATCGGATAGATTTATTACTAGTCTAGTTTAAATATGGCCGGTTTTGCCTACAACTCATGCTAGGCCTATTGCACACCTGCCTGACATAAGATTATTTGATTGATTGACGGCAGACGTCACATTAAAATGGCAATGACTTACATCTGAATCTTCATCGGAACCTGCCTCATGATCCTCTTCCAGAAATCGTATAACACTGTCTCGTGGTCGGTCCACTCGTTCTGTCCAGCTCTCTTGATCTGTTGTTACACTGCCACGTAATAAGTTCTCTGAAATTATACCAGCTAATGGGGATAATTACTCGTGTTCTATTAAATTCTAGAGTATCTAAATCTTTTACAACTATACTCACTCAATTCTAACCATGTCATTTTCGGACAAACAAAGTATATTTTTATTTCAATCATTCACTGGCATACCAGGGCCCTGTTTCTTGAAATCTTAACTAAAGATAAAATCCAAATTTTAGTACATACTTCAGTTTTGATTGGTTAAGCACTAAAATCAATCTAATATCATCCAATTTGGATTTTATCTTAGTTAAAATTTTGTGAAACAGGCCCCCAGGGTCTTTAGAAGTGGGGTAAGATCAGAGTATCTGGAGAAAACACACAATGCCAGCCAGACGACCATTCTTCTTGTCAGCAAGTACATGTACAAACCCATAATCCAACGCATGAGTTGCATAGACAATTCGGCAACCTATACCCCATGCAATTCAATAACTTGACCTCACACCATATTTCATGATCTGTTAATTGACTGAAAGGTCAATTTGTTTGTCAGCTAGTTAATTTCAATGCCAATATGACCAAGATGAGAGCCCAGATTGTCCAGTCTGCTGTATGTGATGGTCAATGTCTGCAGCATTCATACACAAAAATGCATCAAAGAATACACAATTAAAATTGTTCTATTAATAGCACAAATCACCTGCAAAACAAACATACATCTGCTTTCAACCAAATTCCTATCTTCTCTATAAACAGTGAAAGAAGTTTGTGTAGAGATATCTTACCCATAGATTCGGTGTGGAAACCTTGTTGCGGTAGGAGAAAACATGTTAAAACTTTCTGTCCTGTTCGCTCGTCGAAATCTGTCTGATATTTCAACATGGGTTGAGCTTGATTTTCCGATAACCATAATGCTTTCAGGTTTAAATTAGCAATTGTGATAGGCAAATATTCTAATCTGAAATATAAATCTTAAAGGTGAGAACATGTTTGATGTGTACAAAGTTCTATGTAATTATCTCACAAACCAGAAGGATCAGATTAATATCTCTGGAGTTTCTTAACCCTTTGGTCACTGACACTGTGAGCAAAATTAGGCCTATATACTAGCCTCCCATGGTAAAAATGGACCAACAATTTTTTTTGGGTATTATTATGAATCCTTGGGATCCGACAAGAATACCGAGCAGCTTGTATACTGGCCGTCACAGGTACCTGTTCGTTACTGATCGACGGAACAGGTACCTGTGGTGGCCAGTACTCCAGCCGCTCAGTACTCCAGCCATTGGGCATCCGGACCGGTCTTTCGGCCGCTTAGGTACAAAGAGTTAAGCACTGAACAGACTGTGCTGCACCTATATACCGTTGCCCAAATGCAATCCTGTTGTATTCCCAAGTATAAAATGTACAAATAAAATACATATTTCATAAATACCGTTAAGAGAATGGATTCAAACTCTTATAGTTAATTTGCCAATATAAGCAGATTAAATGAAATAATGAAAGTAAGTACTCACCTATTACCAGAGACATCTAAAACATGTAGTTTTTGTAGATTTCCTAGTTCCTGTGGTAACCGTAGTAACCTATTATCTCTCATAGATAAAACACCTAATTTTGTACATTTACCAACCTATAGAAAATATATCATCAATATTTAAACAGCAAGTCTGAGTATTAAAGAACATTCATTAGATGGTGCTATAATACACAAATAGAGCCATAATCAAGAGCTTTTGTCAACATTGTAAACTACAAAACTATAGATACATTTATAAAGCTGTAACTTGTCATATTGCTCTGTACATGTTTAGGTAATATCGAGAAAAACTTAACATTGAGATAATGGGCAAACTATAGTTTAAATAGATTGCACAATTATTAGATGAGCCATGCATAGCTTTAGTTAATGTTCATCACCAATGCATCAGGTTTCTAAATTTGATCCATTTACATATAATCTAAAACTTTAACCTCTCAATGTCGAATGAGTCCTGGATGATATTAGAAATTTAAGACATGATATTTGAAAGGTGATGACAACATTTGTGCAAGAAATAAGAATTTTAAGGATACCTATTAATTAAAATATTCCAGCAAACTATTTACAAATATTTCAATTATCCAAGATAAGCTTTTTATAAAATTTATCAAAAGTTTCAATTCTCAGTAAAATTTTTTTTAGTTACATAGAAGATTACAGAAGATTTACTGGCAAAATAATACTCATTCAGTTTTGCACAATCAACAAACTGCACAGTCTACACATAATACAAACAATTATTTTAATGTAGCAATATTGTTATCAATCTTTATAACTCAAATCATGTTCAATCTTAGCATATCTTATAAATTGCTACATTTTCTTAAATGAGTGCTTGAAAACCCTTCATCTTAAATTAGTTGGCATCCAAACAGTGTTTGTTTATATTAAAGATGTTATAAAAAGATAAACAACAGATATTATTTGAAGGTGTTTTACTAACAGAGCTTTTAAAAACTGATTGAAATTCTAAATTAATATTTATATTTAGCAAGTAGTATGATTAAAGATGCATTAAGCTCTAAATCTGCCGATTGCAGATTTTTCTTTTGGACTCAAATATTATATATAAATTATCAATTAGACATTCATTGACATGACAAGCCCATACTCAACTCTTCAGATCATCAATTTAAAAATAATCAAGACTTTGTTTATTATCGTCACAATGGTTGCAATGAAAATTGAGACTATGCTATTCTTCAAACAGTCTAGACTTTTGCCAGAATGAAGTAATTTGACTGAAATTTTCAATACATGTATATTCCTGTTTCATTATCTATTTTTAAACTAATATAGCGAGAAGTATCAGCTCTTATATAAATTTTACATAATGGATCTTTAAAAGCCAATTATTCAGACTGATATGAGCTGAAAGAGAGAGAAAGAGATGGGGTTTAACATCCACTCAACACAAACTAGGTCATTTTGGGACTAATAAATGGTTGAATTTTTTATTTCAATAATTTGCTTGAGCGTAGGGTTCTTTAGCAGTGGGAGGAAATCGGAGGATCTGGAGAAAATCCACGAGGTTGGACAGGCGACCCTACTCCTTGTCACGTACAACTGGGGAATCAAAACCACACTAGTTGACTCAATGACAGACCTTATGATATGTAGCGTGCACGAGCTAACCATTCGGCCATCCCTCCCACCCCACAAAAGAAAAGAGAGAAATTGCAAACTCGTACTTACCTCTATGGGGATTTCTGTGATTCTGTTTCTATCAACATTTAAATTTGTTAAACTTTTTAATTTGCCGACAGTTATAGGTAGATCTGTTAGAAAGTTCTCAGTTAGAATTAATTCTTGTAAACTTTCACAACTACCAATATGTGGTGTTAAACAAGTCAATTGATTCTGATCTACTTTTAATATTAATAACTTCTTTAAAAATCCTGAAATAACAAAAATGTTTGGTTCAAAATCAAATCAATATTTTTCATTTTTACTTATTCATGTCTTTGCTGGTACTACATGTACATGTATGCACCTTTCTATGTGCTGTGTACCTGAAGCACATTAGGTTCCATTGATTAATTCTTGGGTCATTTCAGATTTCTATTATTAATATCATTAAATATTATCAAATATTTTCCATAGAAGAGAGAGAGGGAGAAATGCGGTTTAACGTCCACTCGACACAAACTAGTTCATTTCGGGACTAACATATGGTTTAATTTTTATTTCAATAATTCGCTTGTGCATAAGGGGTCTTTAGCAGTGGGAGGAAACCGGAGGACCCGGAGAAAACCCACAAGGTTGGATTCCATAGAAGACAATAAATTATCAAATCCATTACTTTTAACAGACAATGACATATAATAAGTTCAAAAATCTTTGACAAAAATAATGAAAATTAAAATAATATGAGCTGTCATGAATTAAAGGGTACAATGTACCTATTCCATCCGGTAAAGCTTCAAGGTTATTCTGTGATAGAGAAAGATCTGTGAGACTGGTTAATCCTGACACTTCCTCTGGTAAACGATCTAATAAATTTTCGGACACATCAAGCTGTGTTAGTTTCTTTAAATTACCCAATTCCTGTAAATATACACAACAAATATATAGAAAAACATCCTCTCGTTATTTTTTTTTATATTTTCTGTTATCTTAGGCATACGTGTCCAGCAAGTAGCCTGATAATAACACTAATGATAAAGTCATTTTGAGACTAATATTAGTTCAATAAGTGCCTTGGACCAGGGCTTATTATTTTACCAATTGATACCAATATGAATACGCAAATGAAAATTGGTATCAGGTGTTTAAGAATGAGTAAGCTAACCAGCCTACAGTATTATACTTACGGTAGGTAATTCTGTTAAATGATTACAATCTAACCACAGTTCTTCTAGATTCGGTAAAACTCCAATAGATGACGGCTGTTAAAAAACAATATACCATATCTAAATATATGTAACTTTATAACAATTTAAGGGGCATGTAAAATATGTCAATGAATGCTTGTTCTTCACACATGTGTCAAGATCACTGTTTCTCTACTGAACTTTTAATGCAGCACCACTGACAGACTACATCTGTATTATGCTACCGGTACTCAAATCACAATCATGTACATGTATTATCGTAAATTTTGAGCCTCATAATCTTGTCAGTAGATCTAAGCATAATAGATCTTAATTAACTATTCAAATTCAGTTTCCAACATCCATGGGATCGTCTTTACTATTTGAATATTCAACATGTATACAATGTATGTACATGTAAGTCATTATTAAAATACTATTCGAAAATTCAATTAAATTTAAATGATCTCATTTTGCATTGCTTTTTCCACTTTTTTTTTAGATTAAGGTTGTTTTTTTTTAAATCAGTCTATTTTGTAGTGGAATGCATTGAATTAATAATTAAATATTTCCTTTAGTAGACCAAAAACAATCAAATTCCAGTAAGTTTTATTTGACAATGGATATCTGTTATCCTATTTAAACTAAAAGGTCATAAAACCTGACCTACATGTATACATGTACTTACAAGTTCTTCAATCTGATTGCTACCTAAATCTAATATACGTAATTTAACCAATGACGACACAGACGCTGGTAAATTCTTCAACTCATTCTCTCGTAATTCTAATGATATTAAACTTGTTAAACTGAAAATAGAGGTCAAATAAATTTTAATCATTGAACATAAAAATATGTACAGTAGAAGAAACATGCATACACCTACATGTACATTTATTGATAATCCAGCTCACACTTCACATTCTATATAATCCACAGTAGCTCGGTGAGTATGGTACTAGCCCACTAGGAGGGCCCAGTTCAAAGTGCCTCAGAATTTTACAACCTGGTTCCCTCTTGTCGGTGAGGTACATGTAGGTCTGATGACCTGGCAAGGAAAAATGTCTAGTCCTTCTTTATGTTAATCCTTTTAACTGCAAGATGTTCTAAAATAATTTGAGATCCCAGTCCTGTTGCATACACAGTACATTTGAGAGACCTTATAATCCACAGTAAAATCCTTCTCTTATTAATAGAAAATCCAAAAGCAGTATCAATTAGACTTAGAGCAACATGTTTCAAAGATTTTAAGATCTAGCGCCAAGAGAGCCACTCAAATTTTCACTCGATGGCTACCATGTTGATTTAATGGAGATGATATTTACCTTGATATATCGTAAGGTAATCTGGTGAGAGAAACGTCATTTAAACCCAGGTGTGTTAAATTACGCAACTGTGTTAATCCTTCTGGTAGTCTGAAATAATAACAAGACAATATGACAATTTTCTTTTTTAAAAAAGAAAAAGAAAAAACTCTTCACGTTACATACATGTACATGTATTGTACAGAAATTTCAATTTGACTCTTACGTAGAATGTACATGTAGCAATCAAAGTACTTTTACTGTAAGCTGTCATGTTAAAATCACTAATTTAACTTACACACATACATTTAATATCAGAGATTGAAATATTTATAAATAATGCCCCCTAGAAAATACTGTTCATATATGTGTTCTTAATCAACTTAATAAATCGCGGGGCCCGTGTCTAAGAGCTGAATCGCTAGTTTTCCATGGACATACCCTCTGGCAAACATCTCATTACCTAACAACCCGGTAAGAGAAATGTACATACACATACTGTCACTCTGTCATACATACATGTAGCATGTACATTACAGGTTGTACTGTATGAATGTCTAACAATAAACCAAGAACGTTTTTTTAACATTCTTTCTTGTTCTGTTTCATCGTAAATATTGTAGCTTCAACCTTAGTTGTATGGTATGGTAAATTCCCATTTCAAACCCGTGTAAATGTAGAAAATTAAACGTAAGGGAAATACTAGTTTTACAATGTACATACATATGCATGTACATGCAATAGAGGTTCTACATGTATTTTGGTCTATAATAAATCAACCAACCACATAACATCTAACCGATTTGGTCTGCACATTGTAAATCCCTACAATGCTAATAAGTTACAGTCCTTTTTGTGGAATGATTGATGAAGTGAGTACACATTTACAATAACCCAGTAAAGAGGAACAAGTCTACATACATGAGATGTTTCTATTTATTTGGACTCATCATATGACCAGATGAGTCCGCATGGAAAGGATTCTGTGAATAATATGTAAGGCAGGCAAATAATAATAAAGATTTCTGCCTAATTTTAAAAAGTTGACACCCTTTAATCTGATCTGGAAAATACATGTATCAGTAGCTATTAGTAAAAAAGACCAATCATCGACTGATACTAATTTTGGCTGGGAGAAGCATCATCAATAATCGACTCATCTAACTAGAATGGCATTTTCCAACCAGTATATATATAAAATTCCCACAGACAGTACACTGTAGGTGGAATGGCCCTAGTGGCCTAGAGTGTCACACTTTGAACTCTAGCTGGCCAGTCACCTCTGGTTTGCAATTTCAATCCCTACTGTACAATGTAAGTCTTATGTGGCTTGGAGATACATGTAATGTACATTGTAGGGGCACCTTCTCAACCGTGTGATTTTACTCTGAAACGTTTCCTTCCACAGGAAAGACCCCTGTGCGTGTGTTAACCATAATAAAATAAGACAACATTAGACACTAATAGAAGTAGAAGAACTGACGGCCTGTATAAAGGGCCATCATCAGTTGATGCCGAAATGATGAGATATAAGAAAAATTTGTATTCAAAAATATAGATAAATAAATGAAATGAACTGGAGTTTAATGTCCTACTTTTTGGCACTGACTGTGCTCACAAGCATGACATGGGATAGTTAAAAAAAAGCCTTCACATCAGATAAATGTAAGCTGGTTTAAAAATAACTTTGTCGTCTGAACACAAAGGTGGGGCATATAAACAGTTTTTTTAAAAAATCAAAAAAAAACAGTTAGCGACTAAAGGTACATGTACATATTTGAAAAGGCTTTTTCTTCTAAGCTGGCTTATCTTGACCATACATGTACATGTACAACCGCTGTCTTCAGCTATTGTACTTTGAGCATGCACTCGTCATCACTTTTTGAATGAAACCGCCGTTTCATGTATGATATAACAGTTTGTATTAACTAGATACATGTATATCTGACTTAGTAATGTCTGAACAGTGAACTTTCACTAACGTTACACTCTCCAGGCTTAAAAACATCAGAATTTTTTATACAAGTGTCTATATCATGGTCGTCAAGCGTCAGTTATAGTCTTAAAAAATAAACTGCACATTACTAAACCTTTAAAAGTTCTTACCTTGTTAAAGGATTACTGCTAAAATCCAAAACCTGTAAATTTTTACAAAACTTGATATTTTCTGGAATTTCACCAATTTCTGGAATTAATAAACATTGATAATGTAGCCTTATGACTATTATCTATAAAGAAGAGCATGTGTTGAAATACATGAAACAGATCGTTACATATGTACATTTATTTTATCTTTTGAATGGTAAATGTTACGTGATTTTATTGGATAATGTGTGACCCTCCCTAAAAACACTAACCATGTACGTAGGCTGAATATTCTACATCATACATGTACATGTATATAACATGTATTTTCTTTACTAGTTTAACAAGCCTGGAAATAAGGCACATAGCTCAGATATTGATTGTCAGGCACAATCTCACAGGTCACAGATTTGTCTTTGTTTCTATGTTATATTGATATTATTTTCATCTCTAGCACAAAGTTAAAAATACAACTTCAGTATTAGTGCCTGACATTTTGTTATGTGCATTTACAGAACGCTACTGGAGAGAGAGAGAGAGGGAAATGGGGTTCAACGTCCACTCGACACAAACAAGGTCATTTTGGGACTAACATATGGTTTAATTTTATTTCAATAATTTGCTTGCGCGTAGGGGTCTTTGGCAGTGAGAGGCAACCGGAGAACCCAGAGAAAACCCACGAGGTTGGACAGGCGACACTACTCCTTGTCACGTACAACCGGGGAATCAAAACCACGCCAGTTGACTGAATGACAGACCTTATAATACAGCGCGCACGTGCTAACCATTCGGCTATCCAACCCCCACTGAACACTACTGGAGTTTGGATTTCAAATCGGCGAACATGGCGAAAAAACTCTACAATTTGCAGGGGATCCTTAGCAAATTCCTAGCAATCGCTAGTGTTCCAAATCTTGATGGATCATGGTGGATCGCTTGCATGCCGATATTGTCTTAATTCTAGCGTGTTTAAGAACAAGCGGATGCCATGCAAGATACGCCCACATTTTGCAAGAGATGGAAGAAAACAAGCTATAAAAAATACAGCAGTTTTTCGTACAATTAGGGGACATAATCCAGGAAGTTATGGTCTGATATGCGCAAACATCAAAAGGAATCAAAATCTCTGGAACATAAACATATGTTTTAAGTTTCATCAAAATCAGATAAAAATTCTGACCTCTAGAGGGTCCACAACCTTGTAATACATACTTTTAGGGCCTACACTATTTGCTATAGGAGCGGCTGTTTTGTCGGGCAGTGCTGGTCTGATTTTCACAAAATTTGATCTCAACTGTCATTAGGTTATAACACTGATATATTTAAACATTTTCTAAAATCGGATAAAAATTGTGACCTCTAGAGGGTCCACAAACTAAAAACTAGATTTTTTGTACAATCAGGGGCCATAATCAAGTTACAATCTGATATGTGTGAATATCCTTTGGGATACCTTTACACTACTTGTGTTCAAGGAGCGGCCATTTTGTCGGGTAGTTTCGGTCCGATTTTTACCAAATTCGAACTCAATCATCACCAGTGTGTAACAGTGATATATTTAAATGGTTTTCAAAATCAGATAAAAATTGTGACCAAAAAATGGTTCAGAAGTTAAAATCGTGCTTTTTTCGTACAATCTGGGGCCATAATCCAGGTACTTACAGTCCGATATAAACCTACATTTCAAGTTTCATCTAAATCAGATAAAAATTGTGACCTGTAGAGTGTCCAAAAGCTAAAAACATGATTTTTCAAACAATCAGGGGCCATAATCCATGAAGTTACGGACTGATACATGCCAATATCGAAAGGAACTGAGGTCTTTGGGATTTTTTCGCAAAAAATTGAGGACAGACAGGGCAATGTCAATATACGTCCACATGAAAATGTGGGCGTATATAAATATACTTTATTTAAGTTGAATACATATGTATGTTAATTTTGCGTGACGAAGCGAGGATCAAACTAATATGGTCTACGATAAATTTGAAGACTTCTACAATAGCAATGCTGCAGTGAAAATATGTGCATGTACATATACATGTATAATGAACAAGCCAGTTTGAATACAAACCCAATGATTTGTTAATTAATCTCACCGTTAATCTATATCGGTTTGGAGTTTTTTATCTTGTCTAATAGTCATGATGAATCATGGAGATAAAGATTACACAATGTACAAATGCTACATGTATACTTCTAATAAGTAGCACAATGTATAACAATAAATCATTTTTTGTATTATTACACTAATATTACATGCATGTTCATATTAAAACAGTGAATGTAAGAACTAGACTATAAATAAATAAAGATGTAAAGGAATGTTAAGAGAAGAGATTTGTGTGTGTTTAAGTAGACATTCTTACTTAAGTACATGTACGTCATTCACCTACCAACAAACATTCTTCTTCTTTTAATAAGAAAAAAAGCAATGAAATGAAATGGGGTTTAACGGTCGTTGTGTTTCGCACCAACTGGGTTAATGAAAACAGTAAGGAAAAAGTACATGTTGGAGTTTACATGTAGCAGGTTGTATGCAACAGGGGGCAGTCTGCATATACATTTTTACATTCTTTTATATTTAACATGGATTATTTTATTATAAAATATTCTTTGAGTCACCAAACAAAACACCTTGTTGATTGATTGACATTGGAGTAAGAAGAATATGTACGGTACATGTAAATCTATCTTATTTAGTTGTAATGCAGAAAAAACACACTCCGTTCGATTCTCCAACATTTAAATTAAGAATAAATTATAGGCTTCAAGAAAAATTGTTTTCAAAGAGCTCTGATGATCCCCTAATCTTTCGAATGCACATCATACACTATCAGTTTTTTTAATTCTAGAAATTTCCATAAATATCTATGTAGTGTTAAATGTTTAAGATTATAGTTATAAATATTTATAAATATAAACCTTAAGACGATTCATGGGAAACAAAATTCAAGAAATACTTTTGTTTATATGGAAATGAAATAAAATGGTGTATAACATCCCACTATTTTGTTCCATTTTGGTTAATGAAGACAGTTTGTATGAAATATGTATCTTGAATAAATATACAGGCTTCTCAAATTTAGAGAAACATACATGTAGTACAGGTATATGTACATAATAATAATAGACTTTTTAGAGGATCATAAAATCAAGATATGAAAATTAATATTATAAACTAAAAGATATTGCCAGGTACATGTAGTAAAATGTATGTCATGTGTGAAATGTTGGTACAACAAGCGACATACATGTAATATAGTAACATACAGGTACTGTATAACTAAATTCATTACTTCCAGGCCGACATTTAACTACTACATGTACATGAATACTACCATCTCAATGCTGCTATCGGTATTATTTCATTTATAACATTCCTGTAAGTTCATCAAAGTGTACATTTTTTTAAAAATCATATTGTGTACAGTTCTGATAAAACTCATGCATATTCCTTTCATCCATGAACATGTTCATGTACATGTAGGTAGGCCACCCTACAAGAATTACAGGAATACTGATCTAGAGTGATCTACTTATATGAATGTAAAATCAATTATACCTACATTTAATGAAAGTGATCATTTCTTGAGAAAAAACTTAATGATTTTTCATATAGAGTTTTTGCTTCTTAGACTCAGAGGTGGTGCCTGGCACCGTGGTGACAAGGAAAGTATGCTCAGTCATTCAGATGGGATGGAAAACAGACGTCCCTTCCCATACACCTTCTCTAGGAAAAGAACCCAATATGCAGTAGGAATTCAAAGATGAGTACTTGGAAGGACAGTTGTTTTGGCAAAATTCTCCTCCCTCACATCCCACAAATAACCACTGAAATGAAATCGAGCCTCAGGTCAACAAAAGTATTTTGTTGACAAGACTTTAAACCCCATTCTACATGAACATTGTACATGTATCAACGGCCCTAATTCTATATAAAACAGAACACCTTAATAATGTACCACGGTCAGTGGTAAGGTCAATACTACATGTACGTCTAATGTAATGTTGGACAGCTATCTTTGACCAGCTAATGATCCACACCACTCAATCTGGTCAGTGTCCTTACTAATGGTCTAGTCACCAGTGTGAATTTGATCTGGTGTGGTCAATGGTCAGTGGAGACTGATTAATGTAATTTATAGTTTTAATACTCTCTCTCTATCTTATCACTTAGTCTTTATACTACTATTACTCCTCACATACTCCTAGTGTTAGTATCTTTGTTCACCAGTTATCGTGAAATATTGAAAGCCAACTACATGTCATCTAAGAATGTGCTAAAAATGTTGGTCTATTAAATGGGTTTATTTTATCTATGATTGGAGGCCTCTCCTTTACGCCCGTATCTCATTTTCTCTTTCAATCATGTGCATAAGATTAAATTCAAAACAACTCTCCCAAAAGATCTAATAAAACTTCAGCGCTGGCTAAAATAATATCCATTAACTATGTCACATTTTAAAAAAAATTGCATTTTTTTTATTTTTGAAGCACATGTACAATTTCAGAGAACAAATGGATATCATTGCATTGAGAATAGATTTTATAGTCATTGGGCAATTACAGATGAAGTGCTTCATGGTTGTGCCAGGGTCTTCTAATAGCCTCATATCTTTACCCTGTCTGTGAAAGAGCAACAGTGTATAATTTCTAGTCATATAATGGTATCTTCAGGACAAATACAACTGTATCTTTTTAAATTTCAACAAATGAGAACATAAATGAATTTGTACCAGGTAGTACATTCATTCTTAAAACATGTACATGTATTTTTCTCCCACTGCTGAAGACCCCTGAATGAATCCCGATCCCAACACCCGGTTATGTCCTTCAAGAAAGGGACATTTATAATTGAATGATACTGGTACCATTTGTAAATTGAATACTTGGCAAGTAAGATTATACACCACTGCCATGCAAAGTGCATCTCCAGACAAACACCAAGTCACAGAATTTAGTTATTTAGCCACTCGACACAAACTAAGTCATTTCAGGACTTATAAATGGTTCAATTTTATTTCAATAATTCGCTTGCGCATTGGGGTCTTTTAATTCATTGTGCGCATATTTAAATTACATCCACTGAACGTACAT